AGAAGGAGCAAAATGACCAGTCATTATTCTGCCTTAAAAGACACATTTTATGGGGCTCTGGTGGTGAAGTGGTCAGTGTGCACTCCCCATGTATGGAGGCTGTAGTCCTCCAAGCGAGCAGCCCAGGTTCAAATCCAGCCTGTGGCTCCTTTCCCGCATGTCAATCCCCTCTCTCTCTCCCTGATTTCCGAATCTATCCACTGTCCTATCTCTCCATTAAAGGCACAAAAAGCCCAAAAAATAAATCTTTAAAAAAGATAGATTTCTTTAATCTATCTTTAAAAAAAGATAGATTTTATGCAAAATCAGTTAACCGTGTTGTTCGAACACTAATATGTGTCCTTAGCTTGTCTACGAACCCTGAAAAATCATGAGAAAAGTGCATCTCTCCATCTTTTTCTCCCTCTACTTCGACAAAAATGTGTGCTCAAACAGGCTGTTTGTAGATTTTCCCTTCATGACATCACAAAGGGCAGTAACCTCTCCCCCTGATGTGTGACACTCCCACAGCTAGGTGTTTGTTCTGCCCTCTGTGTCTGCCTTCTCACCTTTAGCATCCCCTTCCAGATAGGGGCGTGGTCCAATACAGCTCATTTACATATTTAAAGGTACAGACACAGAAACAGCCTGTTCTGAGCAGGGCTGAAATAGAGGGGTTTATAGGCATGATCAAATACAGGATCAGAGTGGATATAGAACAAGAAACTTCACAGACATATTTCAGGGACATCTGAGACTTATTTAAACTTGTTGAAATGGAGGAGAATATGTGACTTTTAATACCATTTGTATCTGATGACAAAGGATGCAAATTAGCGAATGCCACTCTTTATTTGATAAAGTTAAATAATTAGATTTGTCAAGACAGCTTGAAGGCAATCACTTTTTGAACAATTAAAATGTCTTCATAGTTACAGCATGAACATGAAGATCATAAACCAGTGGAAAACTCACAAGCCATCCTCATTACCTTTGGTCAAACTATCGTTTCTACATTTTTCAGCAAAAAATTGTCTTGGCTTTTCAGACAAATGCTCAGCAGTCTAAAGGTGTTCAAGCAAAAAAAAGTCACTGAAAACCTGCAGGGAGATTGCAGCTAATAATCTCCCCAGGATCCAATAAATATGATCTTATTTCATCTGATCTGAAGTCATTTCATTTGGTAAACAGGCGGAATTGAAAAGAGAAACTAGCTGAACTCAGCAGGCTGTGGGGATTGATGCAGTTTATGAGTATTCTACTGTGGAATCATTATAATGAAGCGCACATTCCATACACACACATACACACAGGCACGCACGCACACACACACCAAATGTAAAACCTCTTGGGGGTCTCTGAACCCTGAGCAACTCTGGCCTCCTGACATTATTATGCAAGTTAATTTACCTGACAAAAAAGTGATGTGTCTTGCTAATCCACAGGGAGAAGTGCTTTGTGTGGATGTCACACCACCACAAATCCCTGACCAATGAAGACAATGTGGTAAAGGGAATAAGATGACAAACACCCGACGTGGCATAATATTAAAATTCCTTTGAAAATGATTAAATTTACGATTCAAAAACCCTAGATAAAGGACCTTCCAAACCATCACAAATCTTGATGGTAGTGATCAGAAGTCTTAATATTTTGAGCATGTACTGTTGGAATTTAAAGAGTGGCTAGTTATGGGGCACTGAGATTCATGACACTCTCATCAGGAAGAGATATAAAGAGCCAGAAACAAAAGAGCAAAGTATTTATTCAACATCAATATGTACAGAATCCCTTTTTCATTATAATAGGAAGAACATACTTGTATTAAGCTACATATTTTGCTCATGTTGTCTGAACAATCTGAAACAGTCACAGGGTTCCTAAGGTCTTATTTGGGATTTGACATCTCACACCTGGTGTATAGAAAATGGTTTATGAAGTTTGTGTTGAATCATCAAAACTAAACAAAAAAAGTCTCACTTTGTTCTATATCTACATTGTCCTGAGGTTTGAAATGAGTAATGAAATACTACAACTGAGCCTATTCAAATGTGGGAGCAGGAACAGAGGAGCCGCATTTATAAGTAATGAGGATAGGAGTTCAGGGATGTGTTTCTGAAAGAATGAGATGAGGGAGATTTGAAAGGGCCCAAGGTGTTCAGTGAGTACATAAAGATGTCTGAAATGAAAAGACAGTACCTATTTTCATTGGCTGCTGATCTCATCTCAGTGTTTGACTGAAGCAAGTTCTCACTTTTTCCTTATTGGATTTATTCTATATTTTACAAAAAAAAAAACATTATTGCACCAGTTCTCCAGGTGGTTTACTATCTGTGCTTTTTGCTGTTTCCATTAACTTTTCATGCAAGTCTTTTACCTTTTATTTGAGGTAGTGAAATATGGTCTGTACTGCTCAGGGATTTTTAGTGCTGCAAAGGTGCTAAGGTGCTAAAGTGCTGTTAACTTCTTACCAAGGTACATCACCATGGTCACTAATACTGCACTCCCAACCTGCTCTGGAGCAGGTTATAGTCAGGATAAGAGATCAGCCTGTGCAAAACACCGCCCACTCACCATTTAATTCTCTTTATCACAGAGGTTTTTTGAGCTGATTGGAGAAAGGGGGGAGGGCGAGAGTGTCAAAAGACCAGTAACACATGTTGTCTACCGCAGATGATTTTCTTGGATAAAAATATGTAATTAAAGATAATCAACCACAACAGCTGTGTTTCTTGTATTTAAAAACAAACTTTGCTGAGGTTTAGTAGGTACACCAAACATCGTAACTATATAAATAAATAATATGTATTTATCTAAATATGGATCAGCATAATAGATCTCCTTTAAATCATTTCAAAAGGCTCCATACATTTATTTAATACCATTTGGGTTGCTGCTCTAAGTCTTAAACTTGTCATAGTAGCCATATAAAAAACATCTGCGATGGTAATTTCATCTAATAAAAAGGTATTTTATAGTCAGAGCATGCATGCACTGATCTTGGGAAAAGGGATATTGAGTCTTAAGTAGTGTAATCACACATTAAGGCATTTTTGTCAGTTTATCTCTTCATTCAGATTCCGCAAGCTGTCATAGTTGTATTCTAGATTTTGTCTTTAACTTCTTCATATGTATGATATATCATAGTTTGCTCATAGGTATAATATGTCATTCTACTGACAGAATGTGAATGGTTTGTGAATGCTCATACATTGTAAGTAACGCCTCTTTGTGAGCGTGCTCATGGACGAGTTGATGTGTTATATGATATGATAGCCAGCGCTTTGTGACCCCTGAGTTCTATCTCCTTTATAAGGCTAAGCCAGATCACAAAAGATACCCTGGATATGATTACAGGTCTCAGGTCTGGTACTCAATAACAGGCAGGTACCACTGTGTGAATGCACAATGCACGACTGTATATCCATTTACATATAGTGTAACATTATTTATTTGTTTTGCCTTAAGTATAGGACCGTTAAAGGTGATGACAGCTTATTTTCTATCCATTCTCGTCAAATATTATGCAAAATGAATTTTAACATGCTTACCATGCAACACATTTTCTAATATGTGTCCATGGCCTGTCTACAAACCCCCCAATTATGAGAAAAGTCCATCCTCTCTTTTTCCTGCTCCACTTTCCAGAAAATGTGTGCTCAAACAGGCGATTTGGAGATTTTCCCATCATGACATCACAAAGGGCAGTAACCCCTCACAGATAGGTGACACTCCCACAGCTAAGTGTTCTGCCCTCTGACTCTGTCTTTTCAACGTAAATGATAGGATATGTTGTGATGGTCGAACACATCTCACTTTTATTATAAGCTTTCGACACAGAAACAGTCTGTTCTGAGCAGGGCTGAAATAGAGGGGTTTATAGGCATGCTGAAATACAGGATCAGATTGAGGGCAAGACATTTCAAAAGTTCAAGTTGCAAGTTCACATCAAGCTGGACAGAATATGACAGCCCGGACAGGAAGTCAGACAAGGAAACGCACAGAACATCCAGTCAATTTCAAAATAAAACACAATATACGGACTCGTGATTGTATTTTTCATCACTTTATCAACATTACGTCAAAACAGGAACTGAATGAACAACAATGCATCCTCAGAAAGACAAAGCAACATGTTGTTTGCATGTTTTTCTCTTTATTCCCGCGGGATCTTGTTGTTCTCCTGTGATGTGTCATGGCTGCGCTCCGCTGCGCTGACGTCGCAGAAACAGATCCAGTGTGAATGGGCGCGAGCCGTCCGATGCAGCAAAACCGTGGCGCTGACGGACCACGGCGCGTACGGAGTATGTGTGAATTGCGGGAAAGACATGTTTTGGGAAGCTCTGAGACTTTTTTAAACTTGTTGAAAATGAGTATAAGAGTATAAGCATAAGGGCTGGAGTAAAACTAGTTTACTCAATTATCCTGCTAGTAGTTATTAAGTTACTTATTTAAGCATATTTAAGCAAAAATCTTGTTTAAACATTATAATAAAGACAGCTGAAACAAACCTTATGCATATGTGTTGTTAAGACATTACACATTTCACTCCTTTGCGATTAAGTTTACAGTTCCTATTCACTTTTCCATTTAATTGGCAGAGTCTCCATTTTCCTTTCAAAATAAAAGCCTTTAAAAAAAAAAAAAAAAAAAGCAAATGGGACAACATAGGCTTAAGGCAGCAAAATAAAGGCGTCACAAATAAGGTTTCTTATGACTTTATCTTTTCTAAAGCTGAAACCTGGTTACTTTTAATATTCCTCAGTGAGCATCATATATGATGTATGGAAAAATGTATGCACATTTTGATGATGGCTTTGGGCTTGTTTACTGCAAATCACAGCCGTGCAGTGCTGGTAAAGCAAATTAGCTAAGTCTTGGATCTTTATCTTATCTGCATATTTTTAATAGGTGTTATTACTTGATATTACCTCATGAATATTTCACAGTATTACAGGGTTATCATAGATTGCACAAACTATAACTTGTCTCTCTGTCTTTCTCTCGCCACCTCTCTTTAGCCATGGGGAGTGCTTATGTCAAAGAAGCAGCAGGTGGAGAAGGTGCAGAAGTGCAACGCCGTCGTCTCCGCCTTCCAAGCAACTGTCAAGGAGCGCGCCATAGTCAAACAGATAGAAGAAGTGGAGGAAGCTGAAGCCAAATCTTCAGCCAGTCCTGACGAAAAGAACACAGAGGAGGCAGAGAAAGAGGAAGCGGACAGTACCGCAGGCCCGTCAACCTCCCAACAGGCCACAGCGTCAGCCAGAGATGAGTGTAAGGTCAACCAGGAGGCATGGTCGAGGTTACGGGACGGGAAAGGAGTGGAACCTGAAGATATGGACAAGACCCACCAGCTCACACCGCCTGCTTACGTGCGACCCAAAAGGGAAGCCGATGATGACCAGCCCATAGAGATTGAGCTGGAAAATAAAGAGCAGGTATTATGGGATGGAAAGTGGTTGCTGTTGATCCTAGTCTGTATCACATCGAATAAAGAACACTGCGTGATTTGAAGCAGAAATATATACAGTACATATATTTTTTAAAAAAGCATTTTACTTTGAGAAAACATGCACTTTTAAATCCCCAAGCCCCGGGATTAGAGAGATGTCTGCAAGATGTCAAAGAATCTCCATGGCAACAGCAGCCTATTACCCCCCTCCCCTCAAGTTAGGCATGACAATAAAGCAGTTCAGACAGGCGGAGAAGGGACTCTTAAGCTTTATCTAAACACCCTTGTTGAAGGTGAAAAAGTATGAGTTTTATTGTAAGGCTTTTTATTCCCACACACTATCTGTGATGTGTGTTGTTGTTGTTGTTGTTGTTGTTGTTGTGCACTCTTCACAGTGTGCATCTTGTGGGTGGGCTGAGAGAGCTGAGAGTGACCAAATCCAGGGTGACTCTGACTAACAGGGGGTAGAGTTCAAAGGGGCACCGACACCATCAGGGTTTTTTTTTTGCAGAGAGTAAACATTGCCTGGCAACTTGCTGAACTGTTAATGCTTCACTTCATCAAGAGGTAGAGAATTAAAAGAGTCCAGTTACAGATTTGGGAAGACTAAACCTGATCCCAACGACGGAAAAACAAAATCTGAGATGGTATTTACAGGCAAGGTTGTTTTTTTTTTAGAGTGTTGCATACTCAAAATGTTAATTTTGGTTCCAGTTTTATTCTCTCCATGTAGGCCTCTTCCCAAATGTCAATGCTGTCATGATTACTGTTATGCTGATGACACTAAGTTGTATCTAGTTGTTGATGCTAAAGATAGGATCTCAAAAGGAAAAAATAATTCCCCACATGAAACAAACCAATAGACTTACTTCACTATGCGCTAATAATTTGAGCAATGCATTCATTTGTTTAGTAGTATTTTTTATTTATTGTGTCCGTTTGTGTATTCAGCTCATCTTGGTAGTATCTTTGTCATTAATTAATCATGTTTAATATGTTTTCCCATGAAATTCATTTACATTTAGTATTGCAAACAAAAAAATGCAAAATCAATAACTATTTGGGACTAAATTTCTTCCTCATTTCACACACATAATTCGTTACTCACAAATCAGGGGGGTGGGACATTCTATGTTCTATGTTCCATAGAACATAGAATGTGTCCACTGATAGGTCAATAAATTGCCAATCAATTGCTCCCACTATCAGCTCTGTCTCAAGGTCCAGTAAACAAAGTATATTGCTTTAAAGACAGTGCAAACATTGCCTGTGGAGTCGTCCCTCTCTGAGCAGGTAGCTCTTCGTTGGAGTCTTATAGTTGAGTTCCACCAGCTATAAGACTCTGCTGACGCGCAGAGCTGTGCTGAGGGGACACTTTTCCCCGTTTATTGTGAAGTTTATTGTGCAGTTTATTGTGCAGACTTTACAGATGTGAGTTTCAGTGTTGGCTCCCTGCCTGTAACAAGCCCTAAGAGAAGAAAAACAAAAAAACACAAACACTAAGTCCTGCGTTTACAACGCAGACCATCTCCAAACGTAGAGATTTTACAGTATGTGCCAGGTTTGTGCCAAACTGATTTAACCCTTTATTACATTAACAGAAAATTAGAAATAGATGTACAATTTACAGACAGATAAATACATGTTTTTGTGATCCACAGGTGGAGTTGTTGTCATGATCACTGGAACCTTTGTTAGTGAAAAACAGTGGCGCAGCTGACACCATCTTTTAGAATTGGTCTTGGTTTGTGAATGAGATGATTTTCATACTGATGCTCATTTGCATAGAAAGGGACCCCATACAGTATATCTTTTGCCCCAACTAACTGCACAACAGCTCATTAAAATACATGTGACTAGCACTGCCACACAGAGATGTTGATATGCTTTGCAGCCATTCAGGGTTTCTATTAAATCTTTGCTTGTGCTCTGTGAACTAGTCCTTGCCTTTATGTCTCACACACAAAAGCTACAGAGTCCTTTTGAGAATAAGGCCTTGCAAATCTGTAAAAAAAATATAAATCATGCTTCAACAGGTGAGTTTTAGGGAAAGTAACTGAGTACTGTCATGCTCCTAAGGGCTTGAACCCTCAATGTTTCAACACACCGTTTTCTTTAGTATAAGCTGATCTAGTAGAACTCATCTTTCTCTCTATGCCCTGCTAAGTTTATGAGCAGCTACAATCAGTATGCTGTTCTACACAGGAATCCTGGTTAGACAGTGTGGCGTAATGAAACTTTAAGCCTGGAGGGCTTCATTTTATGATAACTCCCAGCATGTTAGGGAGTTGATGAATGAACATGTCTGCCCGTCTAAGCCCCCGTTGAAGGCTTAGATTGCGTTTGGAATGGGACTATGAAGACGGAAACTTAAATGATTAAACACTGCCATCAGGTCACAAGAGGTGGGCCGTAACTCTAGGATTAAGCTGTGACTTGGGAAATTAGACGTGTTGGCTGAGATGTGTCTACAGCCCCTGAAGCCTGTGCTTCGCTCCTGAAATAAGGATAAGAAAACACCAGCAAGGATAGAACTCAGTGTGAACATGAGGTTATCCAGCCATGGCATTCCACAGTCATCTTCCCTGGCTTGACATCTGAGTGTACTGTGGCTATAAATGGAGTCCACAGACAAGTTTAAGAAATACAGACAATGAACACGTCAGACAAAAATACAATTCTTTATTATGTGATATATCAGGCAGATATCATCTAATCTACCTAAGACCGTGAGCAGTGAATATGACACCAACAATTTATACATTATACAATCCCACAATCAAACCACACTCCTACGACTGAAGCCAAATTTCTCCCTTCTGGCCTGTCATTCAGAGCTTTGATGGACAGGATACACAGCAGTGCTTGTTTGTCTATGTGTTCTACCCAACCAAGATATTAGATCAAATAATCTACACATAATCTGACAGACACGTCTGTTTTTTCATCCTGCTCCCCAGCCACCGAGCGATGAGATGTGTGATGTGTGTGAGGTGTGGACGGCAGATGACCTGTATCCCTGCAGGATCTGCACTCGAGTGTTCCACGACGGCTGTCTGAGAGAGCTGGGCTATCTGCGCGCCGAGGCCCTGCAAGAGATGAGAGATACAGCCCACACTGTTACCGGCTGGAGCTGCTACTATTGTGTAAGTCTTCACAGCTCGCTGCCTTCAACATGAATGTAAACGCACGGATATATGCTGAAACAAATTACACCAAGTGGGTTATCGTGTTAATCAAACACAAGTGTTGCCTTTTTTTGTCTTCATTGAATCACAAAAAGTGATCTTGTTTTGACTTCAAAATAATTCAGTTATTTCGCCTTTTGATAAAGTCTACATGGCCAGTCATGGCAGTAATGACTAAGTGCTGTTTAATCACAGCAATCACAGGGTTCTGACATCTGACTGACAACACGTAATGTTGACAGCTCCACACTGGAGCAGCTGGAGCTGTTAGCTTTGCAGACAACTGTGCTGTCACACTGTGCTTGTTCTTGGAGGCCCATGATAGGATGTTCTGAAACCTCTCCCTGGAACACTTTGACAACCTGTTAAGATGTCAGTCACATTGACTAGACGACTGCTGAGCTACCTGCTAGCTAGCAGACAGAGCATTTTACCTTTTTTAAACATCAAACATTATACAGAGATGTGTATGAAGCTGCCACTTGTTATGCATCAACTTGCAGAGAAAAACAATAACTATACAACAACTTATAGCCATTTTTTTTTCACTGCCAACATTTGCCGTCGTAGCAGGGAATGCACAGGTGCATAACAATGGCTCTTGTTTCCTTGTACTTTCTGGGATGGTGAGTATGTTTGATAAACCTATAGGCTACAAGCATCAACATTGAAGTTGCTAATGAAAGTACTACAGTATTTCAGCAATTACAGCAGAGATTTGGACATGCAGTCTTTTGTTTCAGGCAACTGTAATTGTTGAATGGTTTCAAATGAAACATGTCCAGCAGCCGTTTTTCTGCTGTAAAAAACTGTAAGTGTTAAAATAAATGAGAACTTTTCCACAGAACAGTGTTACTGATTTAAAAACAGTAAAACAAACACCTAGCGCCTCAGATATTCAAGGTGCCGTGCCATGACTGATGCCTCTCTGCTGATCGCCACCTCATTGACGCATGAAGAGATCTGCTTTAATTCAGGCATAAACAGCTGAAGAGGGCTTTTGCTAAAGGACCCTTCAGAGCAGAGTAGGTGCTTCTCTGTCTTTCGCCAGCCCTGAGAAGCGAAATCACTTGCCAAATTTGTGCTTAGAGGAGGGGGGGCGTTTTCACACAATCTGAGGAAGGACACTGAAGGGTCCTCTGTCTCTGGCTGCCGGCTCCTTCAGTGTATGAGAGGAATGAGGGTGGAAGGGGACAATTCAGTGGGGGGGGGGGGGGGGGAGAGAGAAGTAGAGAAAATCTTTATTTAAATTGTGAATTCTAGGGAGGGCGGGAAAACCAGCTTCTTTGTTAGCACACATCAGTCAGCTGTTACAAATCCCCCCCTTCTGTGTATCTGACATTTCATTTCACACATGCATTTGGGACTGCTGCTGGCAGTGGACTGAGTTCCCTTGAATGTGGATTTACAGTCAGCCTTCAAAGTAGACGGCTGCATGTACTGTATGGCTCAATAGCATCCAATCAGATGCAGGAAAGGGTTCATGAAGTGTGACCCTTCTTTATAACAGTTCATATCTATGCTCGATGCTATCTGGTAGCAATCCTACGGGCTACGATCCCGGGGTCATGCCAAGTTCAAAGTTGAAGGTTCCCTTTAAAGAGTGACATGGAGCAAATAATTAATTGATTTAAGTTCTATTTTTAGTCTGCCATGGTGAATGCAAGTTCAGTACTTGTCCTGCATTAAGTCCATCTGCTTTTTAGTGGCAGGTTTCTAGTAAGGGAGTGATAAGTCTTATAAGAGCAGAAATGACGACAAATGTAACGAATACATCACAGACATGAAAGGAACTGTTGGTAGTGGCAACTGTTCGTCATTTGTGTTGTATTTTAAATGGCACTATATAATCTATTATATATTAGGCTATACTGTTGCATTATTTATAGTCACATTTGCAGGGGACATGAACATAAACCTACATTGATGCTGCTCTTGTGTTGCTGAAGATTTGAAAATGTGCACATGAAGAAACCCCTAATCTACATACTGCTGCTGTAGACTTTTTATGTGCTGTTGTTTGTTTACATTTATTTTTTATGGCGTTTTGCTAGCTCAATTCAGCTATACCTGGTACAATGAACAAATATTCTATTCTATTCTATTCTTTGGTTTATGTTACCTTTTAAGTCATACTCATCACATCTTCTACCGTTCACATTAGCATTTGACTTGAAGCAGCTTTGAAAACAATACTTTCCAGTCTAAATTTGGCTCATCTGTTTGAACATGATCAACGATGTCATCTGTCTGAAAGGGGACTAGTCTGAAGTATCTATTTTTGCATGCAGCCAAATCAAGATTAGAATGTGGTATTATTAAATTTACTCTCCAAGGGGACAATTTGAAGTCGCTAAGAACTTTTTAGGTGTTGTATAAACTCTTAAATCTCTTTGAAGGGTGCTCATTTTTGACACAACAATATAATTATAGCTTGCATGGGAGATAGACTGTTTCATTGCTTTGCAAGCAGTTTTTACAAAAGGTTATGCTTTATGAACATGATATTGCAGATGTCAGATGCACAGAAAGTATGTCTGGCATAGAATAGTGAAGAGAGCACTTTCCAGTATTATCATTCTTTCGTGCTTCACCAGGAATATGTACTGTATGTCAGATTGACTGTCATGTATGGATGGATACAATGGAAATTGAACTTAATTGAGATGCAGCACACTGAAAAACATCTAATAATATTATCAACTACACAATAGGAGAGATAGTATGGAGTGGTAAAGTAGATGGTTTTGAAATGTGATTCAACTAGTCGATAAATAGGACCTTAAGACATCAATGCAGGCTATAAGAGATGTGCTGTGTTGGAGATAATGGTGTAGCATATTGTGCATGGCTGAGAGGAAACACATCGCCTACTATTTCAAGGCTATTATCATAAATATACATTACAGACAATAACGACAGCAAGAAACATTTAAATGTTAAATATACAATAAAGATATAAAGACATCAGAGGTGGAACAGCACTATTTCATGTACTGTTTCTTTTTGAACTGCCTTTCCTTTCTTGAATTGTATCCATGCAGGTCTTTTTCATCAACCTTTGTGATTGTATAACTGCAGGGAGCAGATACTAGAGGGCCAGTGTACTGTAGCTATGTGGAAGAAAGCATGCAGGTTTCTTTGATGTGGAGTTGGCTGCTTTCCGGCGATAGCTTTCACTATGCTTAGGCATTTTATAATAATAGTTCCACTGTTAAAATTATACATTTCAAAATTGTCACAATGACACAAACAGTGTCCCAAACTGGATCCCTACATTTCTACTATTTTGGGGGGTTGGAGACAGGACACAAGTCTGTTTAATTCATTAGATTTTTTATTTCCATTTCCACTCCACACTTGGAGTTAATATGTATAGGTTAATACTGAATAATTCAGTGCACAAATTAATATATTAATAAAGGAAAGAAGTGGAAATCATACCATCCTATTCCTGTTTCCATTAGGATGCTCCAGAATATCAAGTTCGGCAAGCACTTGCAGATATTAGCTGGAAGGACTGAATAATTACTTCAACCATACAGTACGCACTTTTCATTTGTAAATGCTGCAGACAGTGGGGTAGTAAACCGTTGGCAGTTACTCTGATCTTGATGACAGGTTGGAGAAATGTTAGCACACATGTTCAGCCCCCAGTGGCTCATTTAATGAGACCATGTTTGTTAACGGATGAATCAAGCTTTTCTGCAGAGAAAAAGTTCTGTTAGGGGCAAGAGGGCTCCAAGAATAAGTTGAATAGAGACTCCAGCAATCATTGGATTCGTCTCCTCTGTTGTAGAACATAGACATAGTATTCTTTTCTTTATCGACAATCCCAATAGGTGTTTTTTTTTTATTTGCTTCCAAATATAGGGTTTCATTTGGAATTGATCATGTGGATTTTATGAAGCCCTGATAGAATAAAGGAGAAATATGTAACTCTGACATAGTGTTTAAAATTGGTACTGCAGTCCAAAGAGATTTGTCCGCCCCGCCCCCTCCTCAATCAATCAATCAGTCAGTCAATCAATCAATCAATCAATCAATCAATCAATCAATCAATCAATCAATCAATCAATCAATCAATCAATCAATCAATCAATCAATCAATCATTCATAACAAGCGTTATCTGAAGAAGCTTTACAAAAGAGCATATGGGATAATATGCAGGAAGGATTTCTCTTTTGAATTCCTCGCGTTCCTGTTGTCCACCCTTCATTGCCTGAAGTGGAGGTCGGAGGCCGCTGAGCAGGCCGTGGATGAATGAAGACGGCTGTTGTTGTGGGGGCGACACAGTCCGATGGTGGTGGTTGGGCATCAGGGATGTCGGATGGTAGCAGTGTCAGATCACCTCGCTGTCACCTCTGTTTCCAATGAGTGAGAAGCTCCAGTCCCACTGGCTTTGTTGATATAGAAGCAATGTTTATCTAGCCGGCCCGGCCGCCCCCTTCCGGCCCCGCGACCGGTCCCTCGTCAGCAGCCATACCAACATCCGACTGTAAAGAAATGGCAAACATTCAGAGGGATTCAAGTGAAAACACTTATTCATTGCTGTTTCTAGCATTTTACAATCACCAAAATTATTCTAATGGTAAAAGAAGGCTAACTAGCAGTAGCAGTGCAAACTGCAAGCTACAAATTACTTTCGCCTACTCCGGAGTAGAATACAAGAAATATCTCCTAACAGAGGTGCATATCTTCGGGATATAAAAAATAACGCTTTAACAATGACATTACTAACAACGTCTTACTTACCTCGTCACTTGACATTTTTCCGTAAGAAAGCTTTTACAAGGGAAATGTTATCCACCGCTGGAGCTTGACTCCTTGCGAACGCGAGTTGAGGGGGGTTGGACTCGGAGGTGTGTTGCTGGAGTAGAGAGGGAGGCTACAGCGTGGAGGAGGTGTGGCCAAACAGCCGTTTGTTTTGATTTCATGCTGGTGCTCAAGGGCATCTACTGGATCATAAAATCGCATATAAAGCCTTTAAAGCAATGATAAAGGACAAATTGGAATTCACCTCCATCAGCATTAGGATAAAATAATGCACACCACTTATCTAATGAATAATAAACAAACAAACAAACAATATATAAATATAAAACATTAGTGTCTCCTGAGATTTTCATTCGCAGGATGTGAATCGACATGTCTTATTACATATTTTTATGTCTTTCATAATATGAATTCTGATCCTAATGACCCTCTTGGCTCAAACACAAAAAATATTTATATACAGTACATATTCAATTGAGTTGTGTTTTTAATTTTATGTAAGCAGTTATTTAAAAATATTTTCTGTCCCATTATATGGACTGTGATAAAATACCAAGCCTCATGGTATGCTGTACTTAAAAGTTTAAATTGAAATGATTTGGAAAACACCCCTATGAACAGAGAGTGGGATATAACTGCATTTTATGTGAATCACCTTGGAAACAGTCGTCCACAAAATGGATTTGTGATCGAAAACCTAATTTGGGACATAATCCAAACAATTAGCGCACTCTCACTTAATAAACATCAAGTAATACGCCACTTGACTATAATAGAAATTGTGTGAGGTTGAATTTTTTATGAAGTTTAATTTTCTGTCCCCATTTCACCCTTTTTTTTTACAGGATAATGTGAATCTACTCCTAACAGAGGAGGAGATGTACAGCCTTATGGAGACCTTCAATCAGTGCAAGATTATTCCAGGTGAGTCACTGACTCAAGATTAGAAAACACATTTTGTTAAAATGTACCAAAAGGTGGTTAGACTGTACTGAAATCATTTAGCATTGGGCAGTAAGGGAAATTTGTAAACATACTTTTAGCTTTCACAATGTTTGTTGGTGGATACTTTCACCACATTGGTCAAGACTAAAATATCCAAATTGTGATATCTATGGTTTGGTATCACTTGTAGAACCATAACCATCAACACTTTGCTCGATGACCCAGACAGAGTGTAATAATGTCATTCCACTTAGCCTTAGCTGCTCTTTGTATTAAGTGTAATTTTGTCAATGTTAACCTGATGTAAACATGCTAAAACAAATTTACATGGAAAGCATTCCATCTGCAATGTTAACATCATCCTTGAAAGCCTCTGAGCATACTGTTAGCATTTAGCTCAAACTGCACTCCTGAAACCACTGACTGTATAGCTTTTACAGACCTCTAAGGCCGTGGACTGTTTGTCTTTTTTTTTGTATATCCATAAGCCATACTTAGCCTCATTTAGTTTCTTCTTCACTTAACCTGAAATTAAAATTCCCTCATGCATAAACATCTGGTGGCACAATACTTGGAAGATGCTGACTACACCCCCCTACCCTCCCTTTTTCTGACCCAGTCTGTATGTCTTTTTTGAAAGAAACAGTTTGTGTCCCATTTCTGCTTTTCCTTTTTGTACTCTTCTGCACTTTGCTGTACATCTGTTTACGCCATGGTCTGATTAATTTGTTAGGGGACCAATGTTCTCGTATTCTGTATCTTGTTAATTAAGCATTAAGCATTTGCCATCAACTACTTTCTATGCAGTAGATAACTAGCCCAGTCTATCAGGCTTATGAACGTCTAGTACAGTTGGCAGAGGAAACACACAACATTTGTTAGAAAAGTATTCAGCTCACAGAGGAGTATACTGTCTACATATGTTTGCTCCCTTGTATTTTTTATCACATTGCCCAATGGGAGTTATTATGTTATTTCATCCAAATGTATGGTATTGTTCTGCTGCTTGGATTGAGTACAATCCGTGGGAGGTGGTCTTGCCTTTGTAGAGAATGAGTCATCGTAAGTTAATTATAACTGGAAAACTACTCCAAAACTAATTAAGTCTGACGGAATGAATTGTTCCTTGCTGCTGTAGAGTCATGCCTGGTGTCAGATGAGCTGCTGCAGTACCGCCACTTTGCATCCAAACAGCTATTCGATAAGGACCTGACTGATGAGCAGGAAGAGGAGGTCTTGTCCCAGTTTACAGCACTGGACCCCGAGAAGAAGGGTCACATTGAGTGGTCCGACTTCCTCTACTTTGAATCCCTTGCAGTATTAAGGAAGTTACGCACAGAGGTAAAGTATAAGAATGAAGAAAACAAGTGGCAGTTATACAGAACACAACTAACTTACAGTACACACTCGCTGATTTTGCTTCAGCATCCAATGGAGCCTAGAGAATTGTCAAACTTACTCCTTAAAGGAGATGCCCTGACTTAACAATGATCAATGTTGGACAGCATTATAGCAAGAACAAGGAAGACGGTTTGGGCATTAGAGAGGACAGAACCACCAAACGCAAAGACTCATCCATTCTAATGATTGTGTTCATCTCGAAGGATAACATACCATGGCCTATAGCTAAAAATGACATCTGTTATTTCATATTTTATATAATTTGTTGGTTTATTTCCACAGATCTTTCTAATCAAAATGTGCTGATTTTAGACAGTCTGAAATCATAATAAAATAAAGACATACTTCTTTATTTTATTCTTTCATTACTAGTGAACATGCTACACATGTTACACAGGTTATATAGACCAGGAATATTTAAAAAAGCACAACCAGAATCCTATGGACATGCACTAATGGAGATACTCCAGAGTAAGGGGCTGCACATGGAAGAGTTGGGGGGGTTTGGTGCTCTGCTCAAGGGTAACTGGTTTAAGTACAGTCCAGGGAAAAGAACTGACACCTCTCAAGCAACCAACCCAAATTCATACTTTGGTCTGTACTGGGACTTAAACCAGCAACTCTCTGTTTTCCCAACAACAGTGTCAACCGACTGAGCTAGTGCCGCCCCTAAAACTAGAATTTATGGCCTGTGATTAAATAATTGAGAATTATTTAGGCCAAAGACATGCTCCCTATAAATATATTTTCCAGGCCCCTAAAATAACATCTATCAAAATATTAAAAGAGGATGGAAACTCATAGCTCATAGCTTTATCTAAAAACACTGTTTTGATGTCATTTTCCCCAGAACTCCCTTGTGCGTCTGTTGACTGCCAAGGAGAGAGACACTGCACGGTCAGTGTTCAAGGGCCTGGTCCTGGATAAAGACGGAGTGATCACAAGGGCAGAAAGCCGCCAGGCCCAGCAGTCCTGGTTCCACAAGCTCAACAAAGAACCACAGTCTTGCAATGTGAGGTAAGCACACCAAATGAGAGCCATCAAACACCAAGCAATGCATAATACAATTCAAACTTGGAACATTAGTTTCACGACACAAAGGTATTCTATATCTAGACTGAGATTAAAGGCAGATATCTATGTACAAGTCTGGCAGGATTTTGAGGAGTCAGGATCTCATCAGTATGCATCTGCAGCTGGCAGAGGAAGAAAATGGTTTTCTGCTTGGGGAATAGAGATAGTGGGAAGGGCGTCTGGCAGCAAAAAACAAGCTGTGTTCTTTCCCCATTACATATGCGTCCTCTGGTTAAGAATTATACAGCAAAAGTGTCCACTTTCATTGCTTTGCAGATGACACTATGCTTTACTTGCCCTGTATGTATCAAATGGTATTACATTCAGAAAGTATTCTGTGTTTTCAGCATCAGTGTTAGTGTATAGAGAACTTGTGCAGTCATAGAAAGATTTATTGGTGGCTGCAAATCATCAAGAGCCAATTAAGTAATGAAGTCAGATCTGAGTCATTCTGTTATAATCTTCTCTGCTGCCTGATTTAGTTAAAGCTCCACTCAGTGATTGAGTGACAGGGCCACTTTTAAATTTATAGGGATGCTGAACTGTGATTTCAAACTGAACTTTGAAACATGATAACTGTCCCATAGGACTTGGAATGATTCTTACCAACACTAGGCCTACATAGAAGCATCCAATCAATATAGTAAGACTTTATAAGAGCTGCATATATCTACATTTACAGACTCTTCTTTATTTCAGAATTTCTTTTATTAAAAAAAATTGCTTTAACACCATAGTGAGTAGATGAATAACACAAGTTATGAACCTATTTGTTGGCATGTTAAAAAAACAACAACAACAACAACAATCAAATTTGGTACATTTGCTGCTTCTAGTGAGATAAATATCAAGAATTATTACCAGAATTGTTCACCTCCTTTATTATCTATTTGGTAAATAACTTCACTGTTGTAATTATCTCTCATAGCTGTCATTGAATAGCAGACAGCCTTTTCAAGCATAAAGTGCTAAAAAGTCACTGTACATTTCCTGCTATGCTCCAAACAGCAGAACAACAAAGTTAGCAACTAGCTGGGAAATATGATGAAGAACTGATCACATAAAAAGCCAACTATTTCCCTCCCATGTACAGTCTGAGAGACTAAATAAAGAACTTAAAGAAAGTAAATAATGGACTTGCTCTTTAGTGAGATACTAAAACAACTCCATAAAAAAGAGAAGAGTTATTGCAGGTCTGATGATTGTTTACCACTTTGCTATGATTGGCACGTTGATGAATCTGCAGCCCATTTATACTGTAAATCTACACCGGCAGACGCTCTTTGAGGAGAAAGGTTTTAAATCACAACTGGAGCCAATCAATTAATTGTACTTTCCCGATGTGCTCTGTCATTTAGAAAATGTGAACTGTGAGTCAGTAAGGCATGCACTTAGTAGCTTTTGCTGTGTCACCCCAGCAAAGTCAATCTCGTGTCTACATGAATGAACTACAGTATGAAAAGTCAAGTCACAATTTCATAAGGTTGCAGGGCTCAAACTGCTGAGGTTTTGTCTGTAAAACAAAACAAAACAGCAAAGCATATTCAGGATTTGGAGATTGAGGAACGAAGTTATGGCCTATTTGTTGTACTCCAACATTATCAATTACATACCTAAGAGCCTGATTTACTAACACACCACATACTGTATTGTTGTGGATTTATGTCCCCTTGATTACAAGACAAACCTTCTTTTTTAAAGACTATTTTTCTGCATTTGGCCTCAAATCTTTGCCTCCATTCAGTTAACTTTGCCTTCTTCTGAGCCACTTTGCCCCACCACGGCAGCTGTGAATGACAGCTGGCCTCAGTCAGCACACTCGCTTTGCAGATAAGTGGGCCACCTACTGTTGTATACGTATATTTGCATTTACAAGTAAAGACCTCCAAATAAATACTCCAGGTAAACGCAGATTTTACAATGAACATGAATCAGGCATGAACCCACGGAGAGTTCAGGGTTAAACCAGCTTGTTTTCCTAAAGATTTTAGCATTCAGCATGGAACATGTCCTCTTGCAAAGTATGCCAAATTGAAACTACAGCTATGACCCTTAAGGTATCTATTTTAACTAAAATGTTGCCAAGGTTGTGTAGGACAATCCAAATACGTTCAAAGCTCTTTTTTTTTATCTCCACATTGATTTGGACATTGAGTTTCTGTCACTATGATGACACTCTGGGGCTTGTTCAGAATTTTTTTTTTAATGCTGCACACGTCTAAACATGTTGCCATTCTCCTGAGTTACTTAAAGTGCCCTTGAAATGAAAAATGTATTTCCCTGGTTTTAATCTAGAGTTCCTCTGTTTAATCCTCATTTACCTGCCAAATATATTTCAATAAAGTTTTATTTGAGTAATTTTACATCAAAACAGCCATATTTTCCAAGACTGTATGTCTGCATCCTGGTGCTCTCTCCTCTGTGTGCTCTTGTCTGGATGCCTGAAGCCGAGCCCCATGAGCTTCTAATTTTCAACATAAAGCTCCGGAAATAAAAATATCTGTAGTGTACATGTGATATATTACAAACATACCAGGTGCTTATACATTCGAGACTAAATAAAAAATAAGCAATTTCGGCAATATATATAAGCACACAGCTCAATCACCAGCGTCGGTTCAGCTGTTGAAAAAAACAGCGCTCTAAAACTCTCTCCCTCTGCGTGACTCATTTGAACGTCTTTTCATTCACACATTAATTTGGGCTTCTTGTAAACCTCGGGCGCATGACTCTTAACTCTTATCTTCTTTTGGCGTGGTGGTAATGTTTGAATTAATCATAGACTGTAAATATTAATTAATGCGTGAGTTCCTAAACTTCTTCTTGACCCAGCGGAAGAGGAGCGGGGCGCCAGAGCGTATGAGACAAGAGGACACAGACGAGAGAGCGCCAGGATGCAGCCATACCCGACTCATATTTTCTCTGCCTGTAAAACTTTTCAAATGTCTGATGACTGCACTCAGAGACATTTACAAATTTTTCGACTAATCAAAAAGCTTTGTTGAAGCTCACGATCCAATCAAAATTCACTCCAACATTATGTCCCACCTTTTCTTTTGTGATTGGTTCTATCCCGTATCATGACATGACACTCAAAGTTTTGTTTCAAGGTGTCTCCAAAAGTAAATAAGATTACTATGTTTTCAAATGTGGACGATCACTGAAGAATGGAGGGCAGTGGGTTTAGCTGGCAGAATGCAATAAAACAAAGAGTGGAACACAGAAACCACTTGAATGGAGCAATACAGTGATCTTCCCTTTATCCAGTCCAATATAAGTTAGTGATGTCTACAAGAGTTATTTAAAATAATGGAAAAATAAAAATAAAATGTTGCATGTTCCTCCTCTCATATTACAGATGCTCGAGCATTTTCTGTTTTCATTAATGTCTTCTGTACTTATGTCGCAGGTACTTAGTTATTGTCAGCTTGTGCTAAGTGAGACAGAAGTCTTGCAAGTGTGATATTATCAGCTATGAGATTGATGGTGTTGATTGCTTTGCTTGAAAATCCATTGAACTGTTGTTTTTTTCGTTATTGTTTTGTTGTTGGAGTGCTCCTCAGGTAGACTCAGCACAGAGCTGATTGTGTTTTCAGATCAATCAATGTTCAACGCCTGAAATTGCTACAGGGTATAGACACAATAGCTTCAACATTATGTACAGTGCAGGGCGATCTAATAGAACAACCCTGCATCAAACACTACCACTGCAAGGCCTTTTTGTTGATACTGGATCAAAGGAGACACTTTATAACGCAATCTGGTGAAACTTCACCACAAAGAAGAGCCTGGAAAATGGCCGTAGAGATGAATCAACCCCTCTCTGATAAAACCATAATGAAATCCAAAACCTATAGCAACCATCAGAAAGCTGTTTTCCTTGATGATTCTTTTGTGCTGGATTTCACTGAACAGCTGTTGTTTTCATGTTTTCCATCCTCATGCCTTGACTGTAAACAATATTTATGCCAGAATTATTAACACTCAACATTGCACAATAAATTAGATGCTAATAAATAAATAAAACCTCACTGCTCACCGTTTTACACTTACGGACCGACCTCATCAGAGTGATAATGAAAAGGGAAATAAGCTCTGATTGACTCTGAGGTTGTATATGTGATCTCTGTGTATTTGTGCGTTATTGGCTGAACAAGCGTCCAGATTCTCTCATGCTGAAACGTATAAATACAAAGTGAACTTTGTGCTTCAAAAATGTGGGTCTGCACTTGATGGAATGTACTTTTCACTACTGTTCCGTGTTTACTGTTTGTGTGTTACATGTGTGCACGTGTTTCATTACTGCGTATAACCTCCTCTGCTGTGAAATCTCACCTGCTCTACCATATCATTCCTCTCACCTATCCAACACATGGCATTCCTCACAGACTCATGGGACTCTGCTCTCCTATTAATTGTGGGTGAGTGTGACTCAGCACTGCATGGCGTCTCTCCCTTTTCCCCCCAAATCAACATCATCAGGCATGCTGCAATCCTCAAGTATTCTCAGACAATCCCTCAATTTTTCATTTCATTCGGCATATACGTAGCAACTTCCTCTTGAAAAGTAAAGAGCCCTCTTAACCCCAAACTGGATCTGATTCTGATCATGCAGCAATGAAAGATGCACGCTTCATTGAACGGAGCTTTATGAGGTGAATGGGAGCCCTACACATTATCAGGTCTTGATTTTTCTGAGGCATGAATAAGATTCCGGCGGGCCTCTCATTATAGGGATTAAACGAAAGCCTTTTGTTCTCTTTAGGGAAGCTCCATCTGAAAAGCCCATTTATCACTTTAAGAGGATGCAGTAGGGCAGAAGGTTGTGAGTGCGCTTATAAGGTCCACACATAACGCTCAAATACAGCCTCACTCAAGCTCATCAAAAAGAAAATATGAAATGAGTGTGGGGGGGGGAGAGACTCCCCTCTTTTTGATCGCTGAATTATAGACATTCACCAACCACAGTGTGAGAGTGAAATGGAGCTTTAAATGTTGCATCAGTCAGAAGGTTCAAATCAGGTAGCGCATTAAGGTATTTTGCACTCATCTGCTGCCTCCATTACTGCACTGGCAGCTGGGAACTGAAAATAATTAAAGTGACGTTGAAAGCTGATGCTCGGGAGATGTTTGGGTTAATGACTGTTGGCAGTCGCCCTCTCAGACAGATGACAGTCTGTAGGACTGTGAAGGAAACAGGATATGACAGTAAAAACACATTGTATTCTGTGCAATATCAACTGTATGGAAATGATGTTAGAACACTCTTCAGAGTAGCTAGTCGCCTTAAATAATGAATACATTCATTTAAACCCATGGTTTAAAACAATGGGTCCTAACCTGTTTTTCTTTGGAGCCCACCCCGACTTGAGTATGAAAAGCTGAGACAAAGGAGAGGGAAATAGTACTACATGGCAATTTTGCATCTGTTCTGATATTTTCATTGATAATAGTCTATTTTCTGGTACAAGCTAAACATTTATTTTGAAAATCCCAACGAGATAAGCGTATTCTTACCAAACCAACTTTGTATGAACAATCCAGTCAGTGGGTTTTCATGATTTTAGTTAAAATGTGCAAATCTAATTTCAATGACCTGGCAGCAGACAAAGCCACCCCAAGATATGTGGCGCCCCCACTAGAGGGGCTCAGACCCCAGGTTGGGATCAAATGGTTAAAATAATCAAACTCTTAAAATAAGTTATACATTTGGATAAATAGAAACTTAAATAAAACATGAAACACAAATATAATTTTGATAATAATTCATTATAGAGTAACATTAGCAAGACATTAGCAGGACATTTTCCGTGTAACAAAAAACATAATAACATAGTTTATTTGGCCCATCGAATGCAATGTCCCTCCATTGATTGTTGTTGTAGCCGAATATCTAACTTGTACTTTTCTGTGTGTTTTTAATCCTTTGTCCCTCGTTACAGTATAAGTCATGTTGGCCCCATATGTGAGAGCAGTCCTGCCAGCTCTGGAAGTGAACGAAGCAAGACTGATGAAAGCAGGTTTGTCCTCTCTTTATTTTCCTTGAGTTCATCTGAGGAGGGGCAAAATGTTATTGATCAGTAGCTTAGTATAAAACAGCCTTGCAGTAATGACTAAGTGGTGAAGACTCTCTTTGCCTGCAGCTTTCTATCAGTCTTACAGTTTACATAATCTTGTTCACCCTGTTTGAATAAGCCAGACATTTCCCCTGGACCAGCCTACAATATGGCTCCTGTGACCTGACAGAGGTCCCCATTGTCCAAAGGCAGTAAATATTTCACTGGCAGCAACTATGGAACACATTTCAAGTGAAGCATTGCAATAAGACTGCAGCACTGGCAGCTCCTTTGCCCTAGCATATGACCTGGAACTGACTTTCTATCTGTAGCCAGATAATGGAGACAAATCCTTTTTGGCATATCATTACTTCTGAGACTTTTCTTCATGCCCCATTACAAGAATTTGCAATAATTGAAGCTAATGCCCCAGCACTACAGTCAGCCATCCACATGGGAACCAAAAATTCCAGAGAGCTACACAAGAGAGTCTTACTACTGTAAATTGAATACTAATTAGCATTAGCATGCTCTGAAAGAGGCCTGACAAACACTCATTTTTATAAATTATTTTTTTCAAGGCTGAGTGAGGCAAATAAAGCAAAAGTGAAGCCAAATACTTTCTATAATGATATCAGCAAGTCAAGTACTGCTTGATGACTGTATTGTACTGCAAAGCCATAAATCAAACATTTATTACAATTTTTTTAACCCAATTTTAAAATATAGCTGTTTTGTGTAGACTTTAGGGAATATAACGCAGCATTAGTAATCAGTACAATTTGTTGTTGGGGACATTTTTTAGCCTTGAATAAATGCACATTTCTGGGAGGGAGAAAAGTATGGTGTATACAATTGACTCAAAAATGGTATTATTCAGCTACAGGGTTTATTGTTGTTTAGGAATATGTCACAAAGTGCAGACTGTGGCTCACTGATGAATTTTTAAAAGTGTATGCAATACAATAGAGCTGTATGCCACAGAGGAATAACATTATAAAAGCCTTCGGCTGTCGAGGCTTTGGGGACAGTTAACTCAGAGTTTGTTTTGGTATTAATTATAGACAAAAAGAAAAATATAGAAAGACTACAAACTATAGTTAAACAAGCCTTTTCCTTTTTATTTTATTTTAGGTGTTTTATTATACATTACTCTACATTATCCTCAGTTTACAACCTTGTCCCTACCCCTTTTTCTAGTCATTTGCAAGCAGTGTTTTTCACTTCCTCTCTCTATTTGACAGGCCAGTGACCTGGGCAGACTTTTTAAGGGAGAGCGCCATCTATATCGTGGCTGCAAGGCCGAATAGTTCTGCCATGCACATCCGTCTGCCTCTATAGTCCAGGAGCCTCGACTGCACCCAGCAGAGAGCAGGAGAGAGATAGAGGGTGAGCCCTATAGAGCCTACAGAAGAGTGACTGCACGGTGACGTAGGGACTGCAACCGAAAGGAACAAGATGAAGCACTGAGAGACAGCAGATCAAGCCATCGACAGAATCTCTCCTCCTCTGCGATACCTTAAAACCCACAACACTGACAACACACACACACTCACACACACGCTTGACTGACACACACATCGCAAGTGACAGCAGCTGTCACAGGACCAAACTCAAAAATCTGACGGCTTCCAACAAATATGAGAGAGATAGGAAGCGAGGAAGACAAAACCACCTACTCATGAATAGTCAGTCAGTGCTGAAAGTTTTGAGAGCAAAAGAATCATGCACACTATCAGACAAACTCACACTCTGCATTTAACGTTAAACACTGCACTCTGTGGCCCTCTGACTTCATAACACACCTCTCTATGTTCATTCCTTTTGGCCTAATCTTGTCCTAATTATAGTTACATGCTGCTGTAATGGGATTGTGTTATTCACATTCAAAGTTGTTATTCACACTACACAGAGGCACATGTAAAGTCATTATTTGTACTGTTTGAAAAAAAAACTGGATAGGCTTTTTCGGGAGGAGATGAACCCTGCAGCTGCCATTATCAGAACATATACCAAACAGGAATGAAAGCTATCCGCGTGCATATTATAAGAACTACAATTCATACTAGTATAAATTATTATCATGCATTAAAAGCAGTATTTATTCCTGTATCCTCTGATATATCCCCCCCCTCCCCCGCATTCTCATTCAAGAATCTATGTTCCTCTGAAGTACTAACTGTGAGAAAGGATGTGAAGTGAATGTTAATGAAAGCTAACCCATTAATCGATGTGTATATATACTGCCATATAGTACATTTTGTCCCTGTTGTACTCAGAGCTGCACATAGACAAGGTGGAAACATCCGCCCTCTGGTTCTGCTGTCATTATTTGCACTGAGGGAATGAGCTGTAGACAGACTACTGTTTGACATAATCACTTTAATGATATACTGAAGTGGAAGATGTGGTGCAAACACATGCCTTTGTGTTAATATACTGAAGCACTGTTTAAGAATTGTGGCTGGAAGTCTATAATGTTCAATTTATACAAGTTAAATGCACATAAACCTGCTCATAGAATCACTGGAAACGTACTGTAACAACTAGAACTTCATTAAGTGTCGATGCTGTGTATTGAAGGCTCCGCCATGATGTGAATGAAGTGTGTTATTGACATGGTTGGTGATGGTCTGAGGGATATGTCACATTGCTGAAATAAATGCATGGCATTTACTCTCCTTCAAGAGAATTGTGGTCGTGTGTTATTTCTCATTTAGTTCCAATGCAGTCAAAATAAATAAATGAATGAATGAGCTGATAAAAACAAGCATTGCAAATACAGTAGCTATGTTTAATATGGTTGAAATGAATGACACAAAGTCTGAATATTAATATGAATATATCAGTGTTGTATTGACAGAATGTGAAAAATATATTTTAAATGTATGAAAATGTGCATATAAAATGATCATTTGATTTAACATTGAGCCCATTGCAACCGCTTGCCAACCAACGTCTACGTGACACAGGTCTACATTTGGAGATGGTTTATCAAAACTAGTTTCTTTCTGGTTTTGTCAACTGTTTCAAGTTACAAACTTATCCTCTTCCTTATTTGTTGGACTCCTACTGCGTCTGTAATCTCTTCCTACAGCATCAGTAGCTAATTAAGTTGATTTAGTGGTTTAGTCAAATGAAGACCAACTTCCACACCTCTGGGTAACTTGGTCATGTCCCCATAACTCTGACTAAACATGAAGTTTGACATATAAAAAAATATTTATCTTTAAATACTCTTATTTTATTGGCTCATAAACATCTCATCAGCTAATAAGGATGCTACATTTTTTTTTGCCTATGACATTATCTTTGTAGCCATCATGTGGGTGTTGTGCTGGAAAGCCAATAAGTGGAAGAAAGGAAAAAGTGAGATCCAAAGGTCACTTGAGTTTGAGGTTAAACTAGACCAATGATGTGAATTCACCACAAGAACATGGAAAAACTTGAATTTGTATGGGACTGAATGAGACTGGGGAAAAAGGACATTTTTTAAATATGCAATCGTTATCATTGAAATGCATGGTCCATATGCTAGACTGCACAGTTACCATGCCTGATTGGAAAACTTGAAAGATATAACCCTTACTCTGGAGCTGGAGATAAGTGAACAGTCAGTTAAACATGCAGAAAAAAAACAGCTTTAGATTTACACATTTAAAATCCGGCAAGTTAACAGCTCCTGCACTTTGATATCCAATGATTTTTTAGTTACTGAAGCAGAAAAAAAAAAATCAAAGTACTTTGAAATAACTGAAAAAGTTCTACAATGTGTAAAGCCTTTTACTGAATACCTTACCTTCATAAACTTGAATAGGCCTACAGTACAGTATAGGTGTCAAGAGGGTTGCAGCACAGTCAGATGAGGCTCTGCTTAAACTTAAATTCATAGGATGGAACATTGGCTCTCACTCTATAACAGCCACCTGTCTACCACGGAAATGAAAAGGATTGTCTCTCATACCACCCAAAAGGTCACACTCACTCTTCAGGTATGCAGGGTGTAACAGAAATAGTGGTTTGAAAGACTCACCCTCCAAAGGTTTGCCAGGTTTTCAGAAGGGAAATGGAATAAGTGTAGTAGTCAGACAGCGTAGCTATGAAGCATGTATAGCGCCCTGAAGCTTGTGTTTCTTTTATATCTGTCAGGAAAACCAGAAATAGCCCCAGCTGAGTCCAGCGGTAGCATCACCCTGAATGTTTAACTGAAGGTCAACAGCAAGAAGCTGGGGGGAGACGCAGACATGCTGTGGAAAGATAAAGACTCACAGAAACCAAACAGGAAATAGAGATACAAGGACACAAAGGGTGAGGGAGTGTGTGTGGGAGGGAAATGGTTTAGATGAGAATGTTATGTAATTGTTTCATAACAGATTCAATGATGGTGATCTTGACCCGGCTAATTGCTACTTAAAATTCAGAGTCTAATGTGAAACTTGAGCTCTGAATTAGTCCAAGGTTGTCCCGCCCAAGTAGCCTCACAAATGACTCGGCTGATGGGAAAGATAGAGTTTTAAGCCCTGTGATGCAGCCTTCATGTCTTTTGAGACAATCAGCTTATGAAAAAGACCTTATACTATCTCCCAACAAAAGCCTGACTCGCTTTAAAGCGCTGAAACAAAAAAGTAGAAAAAGTGCTGAAAAGAGGTGCCAATTAAAGGTTCTATCTATGTCTTTTAAATATAAAATAGCTGCACATAAAGCAGTAAAAGCCATTACAATGTATCTATTGTTTCTGTTGTAAAGAAAAGTATCTCTATATGTATCCCTTTGGGCTAGGAGTGAGATACTGAAAGAAGCAAACAAGTATAGTTATATTGTGTTAATGATAAAATGGACCTTGCATTTGACAAACAGATTGATGCAACTCCAGCAGTACCACGGTGTTATAACAAAATGATGTGGGGAGGATGTTTAGGGAGCTTGAACTTGGGGATATTGTTCAATCCTTAAATTCCACCATAAAAATAAATGTCTGTCAAGAATTTTAAAAACATTTTTTTTTTACAGTGCATCAGTCAGTCATTTTTTGCACCATTCCCTTTCAGTCTTTAAAATGTGTTTTTTCAAGGCAGAAAATGATTGATACCAAAAGTGATATATTGAGCAACACTCAAGATTGAATTTGAAGATTGATTTTGTCAAAAGACGAGCCACAAGTCAAAGTGTCCTTGAACAATATACAGGTTCCTGAAACTGGACCTACAGTATGATTGTTGGTTTAACTTTCAATATGCAGAAAGAACTTCTTTGAGTGGTGGAGTCGGTCGTCTCCTAAGCGGAAGGTCAGGGGTTTGATCCCCAGCTCCTGCAGCAAGTGTCCTTGAGCAAGACACTTAACCCCAAGTTTCTCCCGCTGCTTCTTCTGTGGCGTATGAATGTGTGTGAATGGATTAGTTACTTCTGGTGGTCACTTTACATAGAAACCTCTGCTATAGCTGTGTGAATGGATGTGAATGGGTAGGTTTGACCTGCAGTGTTAAAGAGCTTTGAGTAGTATGAAGACTAGAAAAGCATTATATAAGCTCAAGTCCATTGATCATTTACCACAGACCGAGCAGACAGTTGTTATGTAACTTAGTTTTGTACAAAGAAGGAGTTAAGCATCAGTGGTGAGTATGACTCAATGTGAAGGCAGTATAAGAGGATCCGACCAATCAAACTTGTTGTTCCAGTTCATTTATATAGACCATAGAAAATACTGACAGGTTACACAGCAAGTTGGATGGGAGCAACGGTATTCGTCATCTTCGAGGCATTTCTGTCGCAACCTCAGCCACAGAGTAGCTCGGAGCCACCCTCCACAGATGTTTCGCCCCTTTAATCCCAGTACATCTCTGGGTGGTGAGGCAGCAGTAGGGACGTCTACTTACCGCTCCCTGGGGCTTGCCCTAAGCTCCTTGGTTCCAAGATGCAATCAAGCAATGTGAAACTTGCCAGTTTTTCTGAAAAAAGAAAAACAGTTAAAATGCTCAATTGAAGCTGCATAATAGATGGCTATGTTTTCATGATGTACCTAGAAGCTGTTTAAAGCTGAAGTGGGTAAAAAACAAACAAACACTACAATAAAGAATGACAATTTCTAAGAAAGTAATTTTTATGTCCCATGTAACTTAAGCACTTGAATTAACCCCAGAGAGTGTTACAATGGAGTACATTACTTTGTATTACTTTGATCATGGTCAGGTTAGTTTAAAGCATTTACACAAACATACACTTGCTGCTATACTGTCATTAGGGCAATTGATGAGTATTAATCTGCCACTAACAGAGTGCACAATGAATTCCTGTTTGTGTCCTACAGAACTGGGCCTTTCCAAAATACATATATTTACACTTTACAATTTACTTAGTAGACGCTTTTATCCAAAGCAACGTACATCAGAGAGTAAGTACAACACTAATCCATTCATACACCGCCACTGAGCAAAGGGAGCAATGCGGGGTTAAGTGTCTTGCCCAAGGACACATCGGACATGTTGCTCAGCTGGGGATCGAACCCTCGACCTTCCGGTTGAGAGGCGACGACTCTACCAACTGAAACACAGCCGCCCTTCTCGTCAGTTTCCTGCTATTACGTTTGTGTCCTCATTAGGAAACAATGAGCTTGGGGATACCGGTTGTGTTGCAATGTAGAAAGATTTACATCCACTTACACAGAAAACTAAATGTATCCTTTATGCCCAGATGAACATGGTTCTATTCCATGAAGTCCCAGTAAAACACAGTTTTATTCTGTTTTCTTTAACAGAGAAAGAAGTGCATGCATACAGGTGTGTTTGAGTGTGTTGCATGCGCCGATGTGATCATGTAAGTGAGTGCCAAGGCAACAAGTGTGAGTCTGAGTCATCATCCCCCCTGTGTAATCCAGAGTAGCTCAGAGTAAAGGTTATCTGGCATGTCCTACAGAGAGTATATCAAAGCCGGCTGCTGGCTGAGGTGTGATGCAGTGTCTGTGATGGCTTCACTCAGCAGGAAGAGGAAATGGTAAACAACAGTGGCAGAGTGGTCATTGCTCTTGGGCAGTGAAGCCGGAATGGAGCCAAGATAAAATGTCAGCACATCACTCACATCGTGGAGTTCATCACGAGGTCTGTAAACCAACACAGGAATTTTAACAAGACTGTAAGTAATGTGTTTGGACTTTAGTTACAGCTTCCCTTAAGAGTGGTCTAAGATGACATTCTATAAAGATAGAAAAAACATTTTTAAAAAAGTGTTTGATTTGAGAAGAAATCTACACTGATATAGTAAGAGATGGATAAGAGAGTAGTAGTTTAAATGGATGAAACAAAAGGAAAGGTATAGGGTTTAAAGTCTTAGAAAGATCCATAATCAGGGATTACCCAGCTCTATCTCACTCTTTGTTCTTTCATTGCCATCAGATTTTCAGTCCGTGAGTACAATCAACCTGCCATACCATCCTACTCCGTATCCCCAATCCATTTTAAATCCACCCACAAGTGCAGGCAAAAACATCCCACCTCCACCCGCCAGGCTTACTCTGTCTTTGGAGCCCACTCAGTCTCCGAAGCTGATGTGAGCCAATTACAGGCGTCTGGTTCAAGGACAGTCGTCAAACGTGCTCTGGCTTCTGGTTTTTAAAAACTTGAATCAGAATCAGAATCAGAAATACTTTATTAATCCCAGGGAAAAAAATTGTTTGCTACAGTTGCTCATGACACCAAAAATCAGTAGGAAGTACAGATAAATTCACAATATAAAATAAAATAAAAATAGTAATAACAATTTAATAAGCATAAGTACCAAGTGAAAGCAATAATAAAGTAGTAATAAGTAATAAGCTATGTTCAAGCGCAGGTAATTGAGAATATAAACAATATTTACAAATATGAATATACACAGATGGATTAACAGCGTAGATATTGCACAGTTCATGTATAAATATTGTCCAGTTTTCAACAGATTGCACAGTTTTAGTAGAGAAATAGTCAAGGTAAAGAAATAGTCAAGGTGAATTTGATGAGGTAGAGTGGTGCTCTTGTGACGTTAATGCCTTTCTCTTATCTGCATGAAAACATACACATGTAAATTGTTGCATCACACAATACAATTCAAGTTTTCCTCTTGATAAGAAGCCATCAGAGGAGATACCAAAATTGTTAGATTGTTATTAGAAGGCATAAAGGCTGTGAAGGGATAAATTAAATCTCTGTAATTGAACACCCAGTGTGTGCCAGAATCTGTGTACAGCAATCAACTGTGACAATGCTTATAATTTGGGACTGTGTCGGCTGTGACATTCCTGCTAATAGAGCCCTATTAACTGTAGATCCTTCTGTTTTAAATGGTCCAGTGAAATCGAACTTTCATCTCTGCTGGACACTTTTTTAATGTAGCTCCTTGTTATGTTCCAAAGCCTCCAGCATCCGCTGCCCCTCTGTGTCTGGAGGCCGTTGAGTGCTGTTAGGGGGTCACATTATTAGCTCCATTAAATCTGTGTGCAAGTTTGAGTTGAAATAATTGCTTTAGTTGGGGAATGGTTGCAAAGATGAAAATAATTTTTTCAGCATGTGGTGGGATCATGGCTCTATTACTACTACCTCTCAGTTCGTTCAGTGAATGAAACACTGACTGAACGTGAACGAGCGAGACTGCGAGTCACCAGCCTCAGTCACACACACACACTGTGCTGACTGAAACACGATTGTTAGTGGATGTTAAAACAGTCAGCTGAGTGAAATTAAGTTGGATATAAAAGCCGTTTGTAAACTGACAGCAGCTATAAAAAGCACATACATTTTCGCGACAGCACTGTCTTTCATCGTGTTAATTGACAATATGAATATGAGTAGGCTTTTATATGATAATCTATAATATACTTAGGTTATCATGTCTAGGCCTATCTGTTTATCCTGATGTTGTATTGCCCTATGCATAATATAAAGGCCTAAGCTATACCAGCCTGGGCAGATCTTTGTATTTTATATCTCTAGAAAGTCATGCAAAGGTTACTGAAGTTGGTCTAGTTAGGACATAAAGTAGCCTTTTAGAAAACAGATTTGTACAACAGTAAAACATATGAATTCGAAATTAACAAGTTTTACCAAAAGAAATGCATGTAGGCTAATATAACATAACATCGCAAGTTACTCGCTTTATATTGCTGTCTTTCAGTTTACTGTAGCCTATATTTCCCTGTTCTTGACTCACGCTTCCATCTAGTGTTCACTAAGTAAAATTACATTTCCCACAACAGATGAATTCAAATATAAAAATAATGTTAATAATACTAATACTACAAGTTAACAATCGTAATAATGATTACGCGATGATTTAAGTGGTTTATTCAGTTGCTTTGAAATAACGTGCTCACAATTTCACACCAGCTGTACTGCGCCTGCGCGAACCAGGGGGCGGGTTTGTTGTGCATGACGACATGTTTTGTTTTCTGCTCATTATATGGGGTTCTCTGAGCTAACAACACGGACAGCTGCGACTACAAAATATCCCCAGGTAAAAATGAGAATGACTGCTACAGGAGTCTGTTCTTAGTCAGTGACTTTATTGCTTGAATTTTTATCTCTTAGATGTTGTATTCATTTGCACTGTTTGGTTAACAAGACCTCCAGCCGGCTACATGACACAGTGATGCTAGTTGCTACCTAACGCTGCAGCTTTGGTGGATAGCTAGCTCTTATTTTGTATTACGCAGGTACAAATGGCTGAAATTAAATGAGTTTCCTGCCCTCCACTTAGCTTACTTGAATCAAGAAACAACCACAAAAGAGTCCGAAACAAAGCGTAATATCGCGAACATTAAGTTTTAATGCGACCTAACGTAACGTTAGCCTCGGATTGGGGGGATCACTATCTTTGGTAGGTAATGTCAGCAAGTGAAGTTTAGTTTTTTAGTTTAAGTTTTTCGTAGCTTTGTACCACGCAATTGCGTTTAACTGTGTTGCATAATGTTAAATTCGGTTTATATTGTTATCCCATTCATATAATAATTAGAACACGTCTGACTATTCCTGGAAACAACACTAAATACTAAATGAATTGACCCTGACTGAAGTTATTCTGTGTCTACCAGCCATAGACAGTACTGTTTGAATTCGAGAAGTTAGGATAGTATTTCGCACCTAAACCGGATTCAGACAAGGACAACATACTGAAGTTTGCGGTCACCCTTTTCAGCTATCTAATGTGTCTTTACTTTTCATTGTCATCTCTGTTGGTTTCAATTCATTTCACAACATCATGTAACTGAATTTGCACAACCATCTGGGGAAATAGGTAATCCATTACTCTGTGCTTTTAGTGTTCAAGGTTATGCTATTATTGCTTAATTATTCAGTGACGTGCAACACATGAAGTATTAACTCTAACAACTCAGGCATGCATGATGTTGTTAAATATTCTTCTTCATTGCTATCCAGATCCCAACTAAAGGCATTATTTTACACCCCTATGTGTGGAGTATACATTTTCCATGCCCTTCTTCATGGATCTAACCCCTGCTGCCTGCACATTTAAGTTAACCTATTCCTCTTTTGCACTCGTTGTTAATCATTGTAGATGAATTTTAGTGTCTGTGGGGTAAGACTTTGATCATATTAGGGTGACGAGGTCCTTTAAAGTAACTATTGTTGCCTGTAGCAGCTAGTAATGATTAATGACCTTACTAGAAAAATGTCAGATACTGTGAAGTCTTTTCTAAGTTTCTGGTTGGCCTTAAACTCCTTCTTACAGTGACCTTGTACTGGTGTACAAGAAGACAAAGCCATGGGGAATACAAGCAGTGAGAGGGCTGCCATGGGCCAGGGGGAGAAGGCTCAGCGGAGGGATAGCCGAGGAAACAAGGAGGGAGAGAGACCAAAAATCCTGATGGACAGCCCCGAGGATGCAGATATGTTTCATGGTGAAGACATGAAGGTAAGTTCTTCTACTGTCTAAAGTAAAGGTTTTTCATTTACCAACATAGTCTTGACTGTTGACCTTTAAACATAGGGTTCAATAATTATTGTTGTTGCATGGATATTTTAGGCTCCTTTAGAGAAAGAAGAGTTTCTTGCATGGCAGCAAGACTTAGAAGCAGACGACAAAGGGCCAACTTTAGACCGGCCAACAGTATTTCGCTGGACTGGAGATGGAAAAGAGGTCTTCCTGTCTGGATCTTTCAACAACTGGGCCAATAAGATTCCACTAATAAGAAGGTAATGGGATGCTAAAATGTGTGATTGTGGGTTCAATTGTCACTGTTTGTCTGTTATAATTCTTAACAAATGTCTAGCTACTTCATACAAACAGTTTACTGTTCCCTTTGTAAGGCAATACAACTCAAATATATGATTTTCTTTTTGTTAAAAGCCTGGTTGTTTCAGGGAGGAAAAATGCTGATTGAACTCAAATTTGATTTAAAGACTTTATATGCGCTGCAACAACTTGCGCTGCAACAACTTGCGCTGCATTGTTGTGTTAGCATGCTAATGCTAGTGATCTTTATTATGCTCGCATCTTCAGTGTATGTAAATTTACCTGAAATGAGCGTGATCTAGAAACACAGTTAAGCAGTGAGTTCAGTATGTTATTCTTCTTTTCTCTAGTCCCTCAATTAAACAACTTTTATACGTGAGGGGAGGAGCCGGCCAGCCGTCTGGGCGATGTAAACAAAGTGAAGATAGGACTCTGAAAACATCACAGACAGTGAGACTCGGGTGTTACACCCATTGTAGACAGTCATGACTCACAGAGTTATTTTCCGAGGATATACTTGATTTCTATTATATTTAAGTGTGAAAAATCACATAGAAAGCCTTTAATCTCTTAGTGTATGTGAGTCAGGTTATTTAAATCTTAGTAGTTAGAGGACATACATATAATTGATGAGGTCAAAGATTTAAAGAGAGGTACTGTGTTAACTCACCTTTATGCAAAATGTCTCCCTTGTCATCTCTCAAAGTCAGAACACCTTTGTTGCTATTGTCGATCTACCTGAAGGGGAGCACCAGTACAAGTTCTACGTGGATGGCCAGTGGACCCACGACCCTGCTGAGGTTAGAAATGACTCTTAAGAATAAGAGCTACTGTTCAACAAGCTATATGATCAGCTCTCCATGTAACTAGGAAGGAATTATGTGTTTTACTACACTTCATGTATTGGCTTTCTAAGACTTGGTGGGGATTATGTTCATATATACATGTTTGATTTAAAGTGTTTGTTTGTTTTTTTTACTCCCAAGGATTTAAGATAATCATTCCATTTTGTTAACTTCAAAATTTTAGTGAGGAAATGTGTAGCAATGGAGAATTGTTGTAAGCTTATTTGTTTATTTTTAGACACTTGTTTTTATTTATTAGTGTAATCATTTTCCACATGTGCGTTGCTTGACGGGATACTTTAGTCAAATACTTTTACAGTGTTGTTTTTCTTCTTGTACGATTAGTTTATTATTTGGGGCTTTAGTTTTTAAGTGATCTGTCGGTATGGTCTTTATGTTTTCTCACAGCCAGTTGTAACAAGTCAGTTGGGGACAGTCAACAATATCATCCAGGTGAAGAAAACTGACTTTGAGGTGTTCGATGCTCTAATGGTAGACTCTCAGAAGTGCTCCGACATGTCAGGTAATTTATTTGTTTTACTTTACATACTTTATTAATCCCTGAGGGAAATTCTGGTTTACACTCTGTTATTGAGAGGCATGCTTCTCACACACACACATGCACAAACACGACCTGTGGACATGCATTAGTTGAGAGATGTCAGAGTGGGGCTGATACACACTGCTACACAGGGAGAGCACCAGAGTGTTTGGGGGTTCTGTACCTCGGTAGTACTTGGGAAGTGCTCTGACACCCCTCCAGCTACGGTCCTGAACCGGCGACCCTCAAATTCCCAACCCAAGCCCCCACAGACTGAGCTACTGCCACCCTAATAAGTGCTGACAACAGCCTTTTCCCATCTGATTTGTAATGTTTTGTCTTTTTAAGCTGGTTTAGAAGGATATTCTCTCAGCATTTGATCACTTTGGTCACACCAATTAAATAGTCAACCATAATATTTGAGATCATAATGAATACTTTCTATTGTGTGAACAGAGGTCTTGATTTTAAAACAGGTTTATGGAAATATTTGAAAATCATGTTTTGGTTGTTTTGCCTCAGTCAGACATTTTTGCCTGTCCTCCTTGTCATTAGACCTCTCCAGCTCTCCTCCTGGGCCTTATCATCAGGACGCCTATGTTCCTAAGCAAGAAGAGAAGTTTAAGTCCCCACCCATACTCCCACCTCACCTGCTACAGGTTATACTCAACAAAGACACTGGCATTTCTGTAAGTAGCTGTGATGAAATTCATCCAGATCTACAGATTATAATAAGTCTTTAGTAAACATTACTCATGTAAAATTCTCATTTTCCTCCTTTTACAGTGTGACCCTGCATTACTCCCTGAACCCAACCATGTCATGCTAAACCACCTCTACGCTCTCTCCATTAAGGTAAGGCCCCCACATTGACTGCATTACAGCAAATATACAGTAAATGGTTTCTGCACCATGTTGCTGCTGAGATGTGGGAAAACTTTCAGTGGTGACACTTGAGAAATCACCAGCTTTGTTAGCACTTTTAATACAAACTGTGAGCTGCTGCAGCTGCTTGTAAGCTTTCACATGGCTTGCCGAACACATTGTATCTGGTTTGTGCATACAATGATAACACGCTGGCAACAGGGGAGCTGAAGTAAAGATAATTGCCTTCTTTTCACACATTGTTTCTGGAAAAACAAACTGTGAATGTGATATATTAATAGCAGCTGCAGTGTCAGATAAAAAAGAAAACCCACAAGAAGAGTACACACTTGGATTTCCATGTAAACAAGACACATTATTTTCCATGCCAATTTGCAACGGCTCAGACAGCCAGCTGTTGACTCCACTGGTTGTCCTTCCCTGTGATGGTACAAAGGTAAATAAGTGTGGGCTTCGTAGCTGTGATCAAACGGTTATACAGGAAACGGATGTTTTTTCATATATGGAAAAGGGAAATAAAAGCTCAGAGAAAAGATTTTATCATTAGTAGACTTTTACAAGGTGATACAAACGGAAGAGTTGTATGTGCACTGTTTTCAAACTATATTTATTGGACAAATCAGAATGACATCTGGACATTTCAGAACACATTTTTGTGTTTGAGTAATTCCCTGCTATTGGATAGCTGAGCCAAACTATAAGCAACAGTGCTTAAGGTGTTGCTTACTTTTTAGATACATGGGGAAGCACAGGGGATGATGCACAAAGACTCGCAACACTGTGGCTTTCAATACTTATTTATTTGCTATTTGCCCGACCGGGCTCTACATTAGGTTCTGTACTGGTGTTATTTATCTCAAAGTAGAGCAAAATAGATTGAGCTTTAAAGCACAGGGATTGAACATGATTTACAGTTAATGATTTTCTAAACAAAAAAATGAGATGCTGACACCACAATAAAGGCTCACCTTCTGTAGCTTCAAAATAAAAGCCCTGCTGCTGTAAGTCTGTGGTAAAAGCACTTTTAAGGATGGGTTCAAAGTATTTAAATGGTTCTCTTGAACAACAAATGTTTTTTTTCATTTAAGACCTGTTACTAATCTCAGATGCTTCACATAGAAGGGGTGGGGGACATAAACTAGTAAAAGCTCCCATGAGGAGTTTTTAACAGGTTGTAAATCATACTGGAATTGAAGCTTCAATAGGTGGCTTAAAAACCACTGAATGTATTTTCAAATGTGATTTTCATTCATTGTGTCTGAACGGCTGTAAACTCTACTGTATTGCAGCTGTTATAGCTGACATGTTTTTTCTATGAAAATAAGAACAGGAATAAAGTAGAGGGACATTATAATGCCTGCCTCAGTGTTGAGGATTCCTGAGTGGAGCTGGAGCACATTGTAGAGATTAGTGCATGGCCCTCCCTCTAATCTCTTTGGTTGACTTTATGTTTACTGCACATGGTTTGACTGATACCATTGTTGCCATCAGCCCACTTGTCCCTTTGCTGTAAGCATGTTTTCATGGTTAAGAAGTTATGCTTTTTTTTAAAGTAATGTCCTGTGTTGTACATTTTCTTCACAGGATGGAGTGATGGTGCTCAGTGCAACACATCGTTACAAGAAGAAGTATGTGACCACTTTATTATACAAGCCCATCTGAGTGACAACAGGCTTGTATATCCAAGTATGTTAACTGTACACTGAGTGTACAAAATATAAACTCTGCCTGTTTCCTTCTTAAAATAGAGGGAGCAGGTGAATCCAGGTTGTGAGTTAGACCTGCTGAATCCACATCCTGGCCTGGAGGGGTTCAAATCTGTTTGTAGAGGTCATTTCAATTGATTTATTCTTGTTTTGTACTACATAGTGTCCAGGAATTTGACCATTTGTACTCTTTATCCAAATTTGAGAAGGCCGGAGGTGATTATAATGAGAATCCCAAATTATCTAGCACTATTAAGAAGCTCTGAGATTTTATCTTGTACACTCAGTGTATATCCATTATTGTTATACTCATCTCTTTAGGATGATAAATGTCACTCAGTTACCCCAATCTTTTATAATCTGCCTTTTATTCATTCACTGATTGCCATTTACAGCAACACACTGTTTGCTTGTTAGAGATAGAGAGGCAGTTATTATAGGGTAGTACTCTATGTCTGACACAAAATCAGACATAAATGTTCTGAAGAGGATTTATAATCCTGGCCAAATCTGACTGAAAGTTGTCCAATCATGAGTTTTCCATGATGAAGAAGACAGCAGCGGTACAATCAAGAATGTAAATATAAAGGTCAAAGAAAGGAAAAAAAAAATGCACTGCAGTAGTTCTCCACTGATTTTATTTTCATGTTTATCTTGAGAAATATTGATTTATTTATAGTCACACAGTGCACAGTAGAACATGAATACCCTTTGTGAAGTATTTAGTGTTGTTTATTTTATTTCTACAGTCTTTGATGATGTTTTTTTATAGTTAGAAGTTGTCTTCAAGACTTGAGTGGGAAATGTGTCCTAGCATATTGGTTGCGTGGGTTAAAGGAAGAATGTGCAACTTTTTGATCCAGTAGATGTTGCCCTTGAGCTCCAGCATTAAACCAAATCAAAACCTCTGTTTGGCGACTCCTCCGCTCTCCTCCAGCGGCACACCTCCAACCTCTCCCCCTTCGTATCCTCACAAAGGAGTTATGAATTAGATTGCACCATTAAGCACAAGCGGTAGACAAAATTGGCCTTTTCTTGAGCTGCAATTGCCTTAGTCCTGCATTGTTGTGTTAGCAGGCTAATGTTAGCACACTTTGGTTTGCTCATAGCTTCATATTGCACATAAATTCACACGGAATTAACGTGATCTTAACTCACTTAAGTGACATCCAAATAAGCAGTGTGTAGGTTAAATTCTTCTTTTCTGTGGTCCTTGACTAAAACAGCTTCATACGCAAGACCATCTCGTCCATGTAAACATGATGTAAACACAGCTCTGACAACAATACAGCTGGAGGGACTTGAGCTTCTCACTCATTGTAGACAGTCATTTACAGAGGATATACTTGATTTCTGCTGTATTTAGGTGTAAAATGTTGCACATTCTTCCTTGAAGACAAGCCTATGTTAAGATCAAAAATACAACCATGTTTTAATTTTCAATCATTTTGCCTTTACTAAATAATGATTTTATTGGTTTTGCATGGCAATGGTCACATTTATTTAGAAAGAAGAATATGCATACAGTGTATGTACACTCAAATCCCGCCAATGTGTCAGGAGAATAAATCTTACCCTTTTTGTTCGTCGAAGCAGGTCAATGCATTTCAAAGATATACTCATACCAGATGGTGTAGTCAGTATGGCGTCAGTGTGTGATCCATACAATGTCGTCAATCTTGATGGCAGTGATGGAGATTTTTCAGATGAATTCATGATTGATGAAAAAATGATTTAAAGAAGAGAAAAAAGGTCCAATGATTTAGTCAAAGAAAGTTGAATGAAAAAAAGAGCTTGAAGAATTAGAACCTGAAGGACCATCACGGGATCACATGTCAGAGCTGTTCTGTTGTAGATTTTATTTTTTTTAAATAGTTTCCCGTCTGTGTGTGCATTTCATGAAGTCTGACAGGTTGTATTAGTTTAAGTTAAAGATATGACATGTAGCATCTATTTACATCAATGTTTCATTTACAAATAGTCGATCATGGAATCATTTTATTTAACAATTTATTATGCTACATCTATTTTTGTTGTAAGCTGTAGGCCAGTAGAGGATGACAGTCTCCTCAGTATAAGACTACTACTTCTTCTGTTTGGTCAGAACTATTATAGTCGTGATGTATTTATGCTCGAATGTTTGTATTTCAAATGAATTGCAGTATCATTTCAAATGTTGATCATTCTAACCAAGTAGGCAATTTTTTGTTTGGAGAGACATTTGTATTAAAATCATTTCAAAATGGACATGTGGATTGTCTTTTTATATCAGTCTTTAACTCAGAAAATGACTAGCATTAGTTATCATGTATATATTTGTATTTTCTCAGCATCATTCTCATACACAGGAGTCCATGTAAGGCAGTGGCTAACTACTTCACATAGACTCACCTTAGGGCCTCCTGCAGTGATATTTAAACAACTAGTCTTGTACCAATCACTTCTATGATCAACCACAACATAAACATCAAGCTCCTCGGAAATAACATTTTGAACAATTTATCTTCAAGTACCCAAATGAGAAGAAAAACTAATTATAACAAAAACGTATTTACAGTTAAAAATAATGCACACCTTTTATCAGCACTAAAAGGGACAAATAATGTTCAAAGCATCATCATTATATTAAAATAGGTAATGCATATCACTTCATTTACCGGTACATTGAATCCAGGAAATGTTCAAAGCATGTTTCACCCATATCAATGACTCCAGGAAATGACAGACAATCACACTGTGACAGTCATATTGCCTGAGAGAAAATGAAAAAAAACAACAACTGTAATGAATTCCCAGATGTGATGGTAAATCTAAAACATTCTCCTTCATTGTCAAATTATCACCATTTAGGTCCAGGATTTCCATGCCTCTATAAATGTTGGGACATTTTCATTTGGAACTTTTATTTGCTGGAATAGTCAGTCACAAATGACATCCAAATAAGACATTTTGTCACTAAGTGTCATACAGGCTCAAACACACACACTGGGTTTCCCAACATCTCTGACCCAAGAGTCCAAAATAATGTTATGAACCCCTACACTTATGTACATTTCTTTTCTTCCGGACCCCCTCTGTAATTTTAAGGAAAATCAAAGAAGGTAGATTATAAAAATCCCTGCTTTGGCCATGTGAACAGACAATCTTTACAATTAGTTTTGTAGTCTACTCCATCCAATAAATCAACAAGTCATGACCAAAACCAGGGTGTATCAACAATAAGACAAGATCAGGACTGTGACTGATTCAAAATGGTTGGAGGACTACAACCAAGGCATTTAGAGAAGGTTCAAGTGAAGACCAGTCCTCAAATCCATGTGAAAAGTCCTCATTCCCATGTAATCAACCAAAGGTATCATATCAAGTTCCTCTTCCCTGCTATTGGCATATGAGTCAAGGTTTTGGTTGCATTTGAAGAGGCCATTTTGCATTCAATCACATTAAAATAATCACAGGCAATTCTGCCAGTGATCCTGTCAATAACCACTGCTGGTGTTGGAAGATGAGGCTTTATTTTCCAATTTATGACAATGGTGTTGGTCAAAGTAAAGCAAAGGGCTCTGTGCTGTTAAGTTAAGAGTTTTCCACTCCAAAAAATGGAACACAAGTAAAAGAAAAAGGGACTGACATCATTACTTTTGTAAAATTAGTCTTTTCTTCATGTTAGTATAGTACATACGGACCTAGCTTGGATCCCTATCTCCAGGGTTGAGTAACTCTACAAGGGAAAATCAAACATGTTAACAACAGGGCTCAGATGTTCCCAAAGTGTGGGAATCTCCTCCTGGCTTTACATATGCAGGTCTCTGCAATAATCTCAGAGTTTGTGCATTATGAGTCCTGTGACCTTTAGTGGTATGAACAGCTGTTGGGACATGTCCCAAGGTCTCTGACTTGATATATAAAGAGAATAGGATGTCAGAGGGAGTGCTACTGTGCGACTGACCTCCCTACTGACAGGATGAAAACCCTCCAGTTTCTGTTTCTCGTGGCTGTAAGCCTCTCTCTTGGTGAGTATATTGTAGCTTCACCAGGGCTATCCTGCATCTGCATGTGTGGCGCTTTCTGATTGTGTCTTTTTGTCACTTCAGCCCAGTCCATGGACTACAAGGCACTCAACCAGTTTAGAAACATGATCCTGTGTGTGATGCCTGACAGCTGGCCTGTCTTGGACTACGCTGACTATGGCTGCTTCTGTGGGAAAGGAGGCTCTGGCACACCTGTGGATGATCTGGATAGGTCATGATTCATTCAATAAGCTTGCGAAATTGAAGGGGGTAAAAAAACATGTTTTTTCAAATGTTGTCTTGTTTTGCCTTCTGACCCCATAGGTGCTGTTATGTGCATGATCTGTGTTACAATGATGCCATGCAGCACCCCGAGTGCTGGCCCATCCTCGACAATCCCTACACCGAGTTCTACGCCTACAGCTGTGACGAGGCAAACAAGAAGGTCACCTGTGGCAGTAAGTACTAAAAATACTAGATCTTCTAAACTTAAGTTGCTGAGAAAACGCTAGCATGCATATTGTCCTTCTTCAGTACTAAACTGTCAGTATTGTCCCAGACTAATGTCATCGAGGTTCCATTAAGTTAAATTTAAGACTTCTACTGTTGTAATAATACTGATGCTGCTAGTTCAAAGGAATTGTTGTCACAGAGACCTCTCTTACTATCCTCTTCAGACAACAACAATGAATGTGAGATGTTCATCTGCGAGTGCGACAGGAAGGCTGCCGAGTGTTTTGCCAAAAATCCTTGGAACCCAGAGCACGAGCATCTGCCCAGTGACCAATGTCAGTAAAAAACAAACTGTATTAGGATTTTTTGCCTGGTTTTAAAGTGCTATTTGGTTAAGAGAAAACACAACACACATTGTCAATTTGTTGAGGACCCATTAGCTTATTATAAATAATCACACAGATGTAACATTCTGGCACAAAGTATTCAGGATTCCTATTTGGCTTACAATGATTTTGTGTGACCTTTAACATTCCATTATTACCTCCATCTGTAAAGGTATATATATATGTTTGTTTTGAAATTGTGATAATAAACACAATTTTCCCTGCATCTCTTATGTCCCATCACTTGCTCTTGTAGTTTGAAAGGTTGAAGCATAACAGAAACACACAATCTGGACAGCAACAGGTACAAACCAATAGTTTTCTATCCTCTGAATTTAGCCAAGTCATAAGTTCATGATCTGATACACATACACACATACCCTCCCACTCTTTCCTGTTAAGAGACCAGCTGTCTGTCCAAGAAACTTCTAGGAAACGGTCTTTATATAGCACACATGTTGTAATTGCTCAGTATGATAATTGCCCATAAAAGGATGATTGGGATGTTATAAAAGAACTGCTCAGGCAGAAATAAACAGAAGGCTTATTTTACAAAGGTAACTCACCTGAAGTCACCATAGAGGGCACTGCTATCTACCTTTTCTGTCTTCTGTCTACAGTATGAAGCCATGCTTTGAACCATAATACATTGTGCTAAGATAATTATTTATTTTAAAGACGAAATAGTTACATTAACATTGTAATACAACACATATTTACATTGCAGGTAGTTAATTGTTGTTTCAGATAGCTTTATTGTATTTTATCTTACAGACAGAAATGAAGATAAAAATTACACCAAAACATAAAAACTGATGGATTCATGCCACCACCATTATCTGAACACTCAGTAGGATATTTTTTCTGGATTAACGTGCACAACCAAAGTATATGTTGGCTGTCAGTATGCAATAATCACACAATTCATAGTGATTCTACGGTTAACAACACAACGCATGCCACAATTCAAATAGTGTAGAAGCCATGAGGTCAACAAGAAACAAAAAAATACATCTTTTGGTCAATTTCCTCAGCCTGATCTTCAAAGTTTTCTCTCCCTTATTTATGTTTAAAGGAGCAATATGTAATTCTGACACCTAGTGTTTAAAATGGGCAATGCAGTCCAAATTCTCTCAGAAGCCTCTGTGTTAGCTCTGTATCGGTCTGGAAACCTTTCTGCGCTCTAACCTCTCTGCATTACTCAAAAGCATCTCCAGTATTTATCCTAGTTTGAAGAAAAACGCAGAGGCTTTTAGGTCGGGTAGAATCAGTTATATCTGAGCCAGTTTGTTTGGCAGTTTTTATCGCTGCAACACCTGTATGTTTGCCGTTTGCCTGGCAAACCGAGGGGGCAAACACGACTTGAACAGCCGTGGGAGGGTGTCCTTGAAACCGCCTACCTTCTCTGGTCAAATAAAGAAACGAACCATTCCGCACTAAAATCCAAACTTCAGTCGGACACTCTGGCTGCTGCAGGGTTGAGATAGAAGCCAGAACTTCAATATAGCATGTTTCCTTATTGTCTGGTGATAAAGTAAGGTCGATTTATGATTTAATTCAGTAGATATCTTACATATTGGACCTTAAATTAACAGGAAGGAAAAAAGTCTTTGCAAGCATATTCATACAAGTTTCTTAATCTACAGAATGAAACAGAAATATAATGACGTGTTCATCTGTGTGAAAGGGTTGGCAGAAAAAAAATCAATCAAAGCACAATATGATATGGTAAAGTGTGTCTGAGAAAGTTTTCTAAAAGAATGCCCTGTTTCTCTTTGATTATATATGTCTTTAAGTGACTGAAGAAAATAAAACTCACCTTGAAGAATACTGGAATATCTTCATTCATTTTAAGAAAAAAAAAGGGCGTATTCAATGTCATGTGGTCAGAGGATTATAGCAACAAAGAAATAAGTCTGAAAGTGTTTCTTTTATTTTAACCTGACAAAGCGTTTCCCCCAACTTCTTTCATTGATTAAAAAAAAAACAGGAAGTAAGGGAGATTATTTTCAGATAATAATTATTTTCTCAATTTTTCTTGAGTAATAAGAACAGAATGGAAAATAGACAATCACATTTGTTTCTTTTACTGCCCATCAGGACTTCTGTACAACTCGATTTAACATTTCTAAAATATCTTACTCTATCTAGCAATTATGCAAAATGATCAAGGCCCTATCGGATAAATCTTAGTCGCTTTGAGATTATTTGGCACCAGAATAAAACATATCTGGTCACTGCAGCCTAATGTCTTTGTTTTTATCTAGCCACTGCTCTATACTCTATACTGTACACTGTCTACTGGTAATTGCAGCTGTGGCTTCGGTGCATTGGATCTGTCTTCAGGCTATTGTTCAGAACACACCAAGCATCAGCACTCTGAGCTCCAGCAGCTGGCGGTTGGTCACTAACCACCTGTGACTGCTGCTGGAATAAAAAAATGAAATGAAATATTATCTACTGTAGCTTACGCATTGCTGAGCCACACACAAACACTGACTGTGGAGATGAGCTTTCTCATCACAGGAACCCTCTCTTCACATTTCGATTTGCCAAGGGTCTTATGGTGTTCCAGACAACATCACAAAAGGTTTCATTTTTCTTCAGTGCCTTGCGAAACACCCACGTTCGTCTTGTTTGATCATGACATCATGTCTAAAAGTAGTTACAAAAATTATTCATAATCTGCCTGCTTTTGAAATTGTTGAAGAAAGTTACTTCGGCTTAACTTGACAGTCAATTATTTCAAATCACAGTTTCAGAAGTAAACCACAAAACTCTGTTAGGCTCCTTCCACACACAACACACACACACACACACACACACACACACACACACACACACACACACACACACACACACACACACACACACACACACATAGTGAAAGCCAAGTTGTTAATTGCAAATGACATATCAGACATTTTCACTCCTCACTGGTTCCTGTGTTCCAAGTATTGATTCCTGGAATACAGACTTTAAAAAAAATCATTCTTGTTACTCACATCTCTTCTCACTCTACTGTTAATATTCTGTAATTGTCTCAAAGTGTCAATTATTCTTTGGTTTGACTCCAATTTTGGAGTCAACTTGAAAATGAAAGCTGCAGGAATCACAAGTTAATTTTTGTTTTGTATCCTTCCAGAACACATTTTATGTCTTAAATCATTTAAGTTACCAAGGGAACATAAACTCACCCTTATCTTTATTAAATTACTGTTCAATGGAAACATCAACAAAAAAACAATACACTGCCCCAATAATTGTATTAAGCTACCTTTGTTTTGGTCAAGCCATACATAATTAGATTGATTAAGAAAGACAGGAAAGAGCCTGTCTTAATGTCATTGCCATTCAGCTTCTTCAACGTTGATAAAATTAACACATGTTGGAGTATCCTTCAGCCAAATACTGATCCCTGAATAGCCATAGTTTTATAGCCATAGTTTTGAATGAGTGCATCAATGGGGTAAATACAGTAGAGTACTGTAGCTAGTGTGAACCACCTCATGTGCTCAGAATGCTAGAAACACCATTTTTTACTTCGGTTTATAAACCATTCGCTGTTTGCATCGATTGTCGTTATGCCTTAGTTTTGTGCTTTTGACATTATTTGTATGAATTCACACAAAAGAGACTTTGTAAATAAATTGCTGTGCTATGAGGGTGGGGTTGTAGGGATGAACTGGACAGAAATTGGCAAATATTGTTCCTATTCCAATCCTGCTAACCACTATGAAAAAGAGACACACTTTAATACCCCAGCTGCTGCATCAAACTGAAAAATAAAGTGAAATTAGAGGTACCCCTCCCCTCTGGGAATGTTATAATCTATCATAACCATTCACTTTTGGGGCATTTAAATCAGATAGGACAATACAAAAGTTACCAGGGATCAAGGGAAGAGGGAAAGATGGCTTTGATATGAATTGTCAGTCCTTGGCTTGATACACCTTGCAATGTACATTACAACACTGTGGTATACGCCCTAATGATTAGCCTAGTTACAGTAACATTTGTGATTGTTGTGATGATGTCATGTCTTAGGTATTTGAATGTAACAAATCATTCAAGGGTAGCTAATGATTGTCCCTTTAACATGTGACAAAGTTAGACTTTCGAATGTGGGCTTATTCAGCATCATTGGTTAAGCATTTGTTAAAGTTTTAGCTCCTGAAAAACTCACTCGTTTTAACCAAACTGTTCCAAATATTGCACATATGCAATCTAAATTGACACATGTTTGCAAGAATCATGAAAGGAGTTTGTAGTATACCTACATGTAACAGCTTCTTGTAGGTTTTATGTCTTGTTCCAAGGTTCTGTACTGCTCATCATTCATGGGCTGCTAAGAGGAAGAGGAATCTAACAGCTTCTAAGAGAAGTCAAACACTGTTGAGTGACATACATAAGAATTACTTTTTGGCTAAAAGGTGTGTAGACATGCTACCTGTGCCGTCTGCTCACATGGGACGCTAAAGCTGAGTTCACTTGCCAAATTTGGCAATTTGAATTGGGCAGTGGTCCAGGGAAGAGACTAGCCTGAAAGAGAAGAAAGAACAGGTGTAACAGAAACATGACTAAGAAGGGGTGGGAAAGGGGAGGCAGACAGTATTTAAATCACACCTTTATCCGCCACAGTATCCGACGCTGACTCCACCCTGGCTTGTAAGCACATGCCTATGTAGTCTCCAAAGCACATGCCGGCCCTGATGCTGCCATGGTTACTCACTATTTTGCCAAACTGATCATGTTCAGGACAAAGAGTAACAACTCCCAGCGTGTTATTCCACTTTCACAACAGGTAGGGGAATGTCTAGAACAGACTCTCCTATGCAAATCCTGTGTGCCACTCTGCCCAGGGGATGTGTCTGTTTGTTGACTTATTCTGTCTGGTATGCATGACATACCCGGGGAAAAGACACATCGGAAATCTGAGCCTGAGCCAAGACAATTAATGTCTGTGAAAGTACATCACAAACATAGATCATTGTTTCATGCTTTCTCTGTGCTTGGAGTAAATAGGTTACAGGCTAAGAGCTCTCCTTTTACACTTTCCCTGTAGGGCCCCTGTATCGTAATCAGGGATTTTGTGTCACACACATGTTTTACTTAAGTAAAAGCTGAGCTGCGTTTGTACATTTGCACGTTATTAATAATCTAACTTCCACAGAGTGAAAAAAAAAAGAGTGCAATGGTTGTTTTTTTCCAATAAAAAGGTTTAATCAGACATGTATATTGCAGCATATCAATTCACATTTCAGCAGGGTGGGTGAACTCAGGTGGGTAACATTTTCCCCCCAATTTTCAAAAAGTTCATACTTTTCATGCTTTTGGAAATAAAGCTCTATCTTTCTAAAGTATATTAACATCAGTTTTCATATTATTGACATATTCACATAGCTCTGTTCACAATGTGTGGACTGCACTTCCTAAACGAACACAGTATCCCAGTCTGCTTGGACCCTTCTCGATAAGCTACCCTGAAAGTAACAGGGATCAGCATATTTTTGCAAATTGTGGGACACATTTGAGGGCCAAGATGGCTGCTGATATTTTGAAAGTGTAGGGTAAAAGCAGTTGGCAGTGCCCTGGTTAGCATTAGCTCTGTCTTTTTCCACATAGATTGTATAGTTCTGTCCATTGTTGTCGTCCCAGTGTGTTGTTGCTCCAGCTCCGGTTTTAAGCGACACGCAGAACTCAAATCTGTCCTCTGGATCTATGTTCTTTGGTAAGCTTACGTCAAAGGCAAACACATCCACCTCTGAACCACCAAAACGCTGCTGATGCAGGAATGTGCAGGGGACGTCATGATGGCTCCGCCAAGAGTCAAAGGTCACCCTTACATGCACAGCCTTGTCAGTGCTGACATGAGAGACACGCACTCTGCCGTTCAAAGTGTTTTCTGAAATGTTGCAGCTTTCCAACTGTACACGCATCTCTCGCAGACGTGCCAGAGAAATGTCTAGGACTGGCTGAGGGAAACCCAGCCTCAACTTGTGGCGCTGCAGTTTGTTTGAGAGGGTCTGCTGCTGCAGTTTGTTTGAGAGGGTCTGCTGCTGCAGTTTGTTTATGGGTGACTGTTGACCTTGGAATCTGACCGGGACAGGTTTCATCACCAGAGTAGGAGTAGGGATAGAGGAGCCGGGGATAAACATGCGCACAGCAGTAAGGGCCAGTCCTTTAGCATCTGCAAACACCACACGCTTCTTGTTCTGACCGCTGCTGTCTTTGCGGAAACAGCTCCGAGGCCCTGAGTACACAGGAGAGGAGGGCAGCGTTGAATATGAGGAGTGGCGGTGAGAAGGGGAGCGGCGGCTGACAGTCCTCTGCAGACATTGAGCTGGCCGAGAGCTTTGCTCTGCCGGTTTCAGAGAAGCACTGGACAGCAGTTCATACAGCGGTTGGCGCTGACTGAGGCTCAGACAGAGGGTGAGGTCGACAGGTATCACTCCTGGCTGTGGGTGACTCCCAAGAGCACTGAGAACTCTGAGAAAGGAGAAACAATGGAGTTGAAATATTGCCAAAGAATACAATATGCAAATTCAAGCATGCAGTGATTGGTATTGTAAGACATGAATATATACCAATGATCAAATTACCTTCTGTATCTTTTTACCTTGTTATCTTTATGAATCTATTTTCATATTTATCTATCTAATTTTTCTAGTTTTTTGTTAAACCAACAGCACAGGTAGAAATACAGTTAAATGAGTTTAATTTAAGCACAGTGACTTACCTTGTGAAGCTCATTTTCAAATTGAAGATTTGACTTGGTCAGTTGTCCTTGCCAGATGGCTACAGCAAAATCAGAATGATCTATGAGCAGGATTTAGGTTTAATGAGAAAAAAACCGCTTCTAACTGAACGTCAGTTATTCCAAATATTGAGTGCTCTTCATGACGCAAACAGCTCCCGAAAGTAGACTAAATAAAAAAAATAATGTCCTTAACCAAAGAGAGGGTGGCAGGTCTGAGCTGTCTCCGCTCTCTCACTTGGAGCTTATGTGCAGGGTGTAAACTAGAGGCTGAACCTTCTTTGACACCATATTTGCATGTTAGCAGAGTTCAGCCAATGAAGTGGATCTACTTTGTTCCTGCCCCTAAAGAACTGTTGCACAGAAAGTGAAGCGTGTTTACGGAAATATCACTTGTTTTAATCACTGAAAAACAGGCTCAGATCATATAAACTGTTTATCTTAAACCACAGATATAAACTGAAGACTTCAGAACAAAGAAAAGTCATGTATTTATATTCAAAGTTACATTTAAATTATGGGAAATTAAACCCTTTTAATCTGATTTGGTACTTCACCTTGGCATGGGATCTCATTTTGGGATTAAAGGAATGACTGTTTAAATTATTTCCTGTTTTGGGGGGTATTTCATCCTTTGTGTTGCTTGTTTCCCTCATGTGTATTTTTCATTGCTTTATTTCCAAGTTTAGCATTATGGTTTTTCCGTTTCATTTTGTAATTTCTTACCCCCCGTATTTTATTTTGTAGTTCTTGTCCAAAGTGTTTCTTGTCTTACTTCCTCCCTTCGTCCCGTTTCCGTCCATTTTGATTGTCCTCACCAGTTTCACCTGTGTCCCCTTGTCACACCTGTATCCAATCACTCCTTGTTTATTTAGTGTCTGGGTGCATCCGAATTGTCCCTCCTATCTCCTTTCACTATCCACTTTAACTTAACCCCGCGAAAACGTCATGAGTTCAAGGAAAGATGTTAGGAGAATTCATAAAGGACTTAGGGAAAGGCGATCTTGTTGCTCTGACAATCCGACCGCATTTTCCACTAGGCGACATCATTAAATGCGACGCGCCGGCGGAGGTTAATGACGTGGGTCTGCCGTGGTGAAACTACAACGTTCCGAAAATGGACTACAAAAAACACATCTAAAAAACTCTTTCTGTGCCTTCTTACCAGTGAAATAATCCTAATTTTCAAAAGGTTGGGATTGAAATAAAATAAATATAGACTACCAGGCTACAAGTAAGAAAAATGAAACCATCAGCTTCCTGTCCACTCAGAATATCTCATATCTCATCTCCTTTGGTAAAGGATGGTCCAGTGTATCCTATGCTAAAGCAGGTTATAAAGGAAGCATTGACCCACCTTTCCTTAACTTTTAGAGAATTCGAACGGCTCTTATCATGGCCGCCACATAAATGCTTCCAGGGTTAAGGTAAAGTGGATAGTGAAAGGAGATAGGAGGGACAATTCGGATGCACCCTCTGTGTGCTTTCTCCTCTGTGTCAGCTTGTCATTATGTCATCCCTGAATCTTCTCCTTTTAAACCACAAGCCACCAAGTTGGACTTTTCTTTGTATCTTCCCTCGGCCAACGCGTAAGCGTTGTTTGCCTTTATTGTGAAAAAAAAAAAAAACATTTTGTTTTTACACTCGGGTTTTCCTCTAAGTTTTTGACAAACTGTGACACATACAGTTTTGTGCTGTCAAAAGTGTAAATTAAACATTTCAATACAGAACTTGTGGGGAAAAACTCACCAATATTATCAATGATTTTTCATTCCACATACTTGAAAAGACTTGGATGGCCTATAAAAGGCCTTTCAGATAGGATGCGTTGGGAAATGCACACCATTCTCAACTCATTCATTGTCTATTTGTTGGTGGCGAGCGTATCTGCACTGTGCCTTGCTGAGCACAGCACAGGGTCGCCTGTGGACATAAGTTACACTTTAGACTTTATTGTACCCGTGGGGACAATACAATTCCCTCAAAAAGAACAGTGCATACACAAAACACAATGTATAGAACAAATAAAGTTAAACAACAATCAAACAATTCCCCTTTTGTTCATGGCAGCTATAACCGCAGGGATCAGGCTTTTCCTGAGGCGAGCCCTCCTGCACCTCAGTTGTCTGTACCTCCGTCATGAGGGGAGTGGGGTAGGGTGGATGTTTAGTGGATATGGGATGTCCTGTTCTATTGAGGTTGCAAGGCGTGTGATGTCATTGTTGTTGAGGGTTAGATTGGGCGTTGGGAGACCAGTTTTTTTTTCATCTTGGGTGCAGTGATTTGTGACGACTCCTTGGCACATCCAATAAGAGGGAAGATCAAATCACAACAAATGGTGTTCTGTTTTCCTGAGCTCTATAGTACCAGTTTAAAGACTTACTGGGACATCGGCAAGAAAGCTTTTATCCTTTCAGAAGGAGTGAGGAGGGTAGACATGCATCAAAGGGCCGAGGTCAGGAGTCAGACCTGTTGCTGATGCAATATGAACTATTGTTATGTATACAAGGCTCCTGCTTTACCAACTAAGATACATCAACACCTCATGATGTATCAGTATGATAGCCAGGAGTCATTGTGTACATTTCAGGATCAACATGTCTTTTTCTGGCAAAGTGAAAATGTGTAATTTGCAGGACTGATGTTCAAGCTGAGAGTAGTCTGGGAGTTTCCATCATGCTACCCTGGGCTGTCATAACAAATCATTTCAGTGTTTCAACGTTGGATACTGTTCAGCAGGTGACTGACTGACTAGAATTTCAAGCCAAGCTCTGCATCAGAAACTGTTTCATTCATGACAAGCTCAAACAGCCACTTTCTATGAAGTGAAGACAAACAGCTTTTGTAAATATGTTTAGGGCTTCACCTAAGTAGCACCTAAATGGTTTTGGCTCCAGCTGTGACTTCAACAAGCAGGAAAATTACTATTTATAATACATTTTGTTAAAGACGGTGATTACCCACACATTCAACAATCATATTGTATCTGTGTGAGCCTGTGCTCATACTGTATCATTAAAGCATGCTAATGTTTGTGCTAATCACTAATCCAAACACCAAAGCTAATCTGTTAAATAAATCACAACTACTAATATTTGTACAGTGACTCAATATTCAATATGCATTACCTCATAAGCTTCATGTTTGTATTTATAAAGTTTTTTTACTTCTATTGCGAAAAAGAAAGTCATGAAGGAGTTCATTGTTGACACATCCGGATGCCAACAACCTGATATGCCCTTCATGCAGACTTTCCCAGGCTAGGTGAGCTGAGGTGAGGTGAGTGATGAGTAAGTCTTTGCACATACCTTCCTCTGCTGTCACCATATCTGTCTGCACTCTTAGCTTATCGTTCTGTCTGCTCTCCAGCGTCTCTGGTATAAAAAAAATGCCAAAGAGCTCATGGTTATGTCTACATAAACTAGACTGATACAATCATGTTGGTTAAAATTGTTTAAATGTAAAGAGAATGGAATCATCCTTATTTGGTGTTGTTTTACACTAGTAGCGTGATGGTCTTGTATAGGACATGTTCTGAATAAAAGACCTGTATTATACTCCACAAACTGTTTCTACTTATGGTAAATGGACTTGAGCTTGTATGGTGCATTTTCTAGTTTTCTGACTACTCAAAGCGCTTTTACACTGCATGTACCACCTACCCATTCACACCCTTTCACACACTGATGGAATTGGTTGCTATGTAGTGAGACTATCAGAAGTAACTAATCCCATTCATACGCCACAGATGAAGCAGCGGGAGCAATTCCACGTTAAGTGTCTTGCCCAAGGACACATCGGACATGTTGCTGCAGGAGCTGGGGATCAAACCCTTGACATTCCGGTTGAGAGACGACGACTCTACCAACTGAACCACACCCGCATTACTTATGTAATCCAGACATCAGGTTCCATCAGCTACTTGCAAAAAAAAGCTCACCCATAGGTTTTTAAAGGGTAAACCATGATGAGGTGTATGCCAACACATTTAGTAATAAAAATATTGTTACAGATTATATCTCCAAAAGATGCCAGACATTTAAAAAAGGAGGATCTTTTTTCTTCCATTTAAGGACATGGCAACCTAACATTTTGACAAGTCAGGAATTGATATTCTCTACAGCTATGCAAATGAATGCTGAAGAAAGATACAGATCTTTATGCTAGTATACACAAGTATTTCACATCTTCTATGCTAATCATTAAAGAGCCCATATTATGCCCTTTTTGGGGTTCGTATATTTAATCTATGTACCTACTTTGTACATTCACAATAGCTAAAGTTCTAAAAAAGTGTCTGTTTTCATGTACTGCTCCTCCTTGCTCCCTCTACGCTCTGAGTCCGTCAGCTACACTCTGCTGTGACCACACTGTTAGACCCCACGTGGGCCAAGTCTGCTCTGATTGGTCTGCCGAGCCGCTCTGTCGTTATTGGTCAGTTGCTCAGCACGCTTCTCAGAAATTTCAACCTGAGCTGCTGGGCTTGCCACAACGAGCCAATGGGCTTAGATCAGTGATCTCACACTGACAATTTTTTTTCGAGGGGGGCTAGAACCGAGCGTTACATGAGGCTAATGCTACAGCTAACAGGAGGACGTAGGAGGAGCGTGGGCCAAGTCTGCTCTGATTGGTCTGTCGATCCGCTCTGTCGTTATTGGTCAGTTGCTCAGCATGGTTCTCGGAAATTACCCGCCTCTTTTACCATATTGGGAATGCAGCCACTGGCTCCGTCCGAGGGGAGGATAAACATTAGCACCTTAGCACTACTGTGCTACCGCAGGCTACAGCATATCATGGGCGTGCTACAGAAGTTAACGGGCGTGCAACATGAGCTGCAGGGCTTGCCACAATGAGCCAATGGGCTTAGATCAGTGATCTGCCACTGACAATGACGTCGGACTGACAAATTTTTATTGAGGGGGGGCTAGAACCGAGCGTTACATGCAGCTAATGCTACAGCTAACAGGAGGACTTAGGAAAAGCCGTGTTTCCGCGGACTTTGATTTTTTGCACATAGATGTTCCTAAACATGCACAGGACACTTGGAAAACACACTGAAGAGCATATAAAACCAGAAAAAGCATAATATGGGACCTTTAAGACATCGTCGTTAATCCACCCACGTACATTTCAAACTATAATTTGCAGTTTTAGCCACACATATTTAGAATTCATTCATCTCAATCACTTTGCAGGTTCAAAAGGCCAAGGTTGATTTCTATCTGCATCT